GCGACAATTTGTTGTTGACAAAGGACAACTGGACATATAAGGGGCCCCATTACCTTCAGTAGCTTAGAGCCTAAATCTGGCCCGGGGGGGGGGGGAGAGATATTGAGCTTTTGGTAAGCCCAGTGGGGTCGTATCCAGTGGGGTCCTTCATGCTGACTGAAGCACAGTGGTCCCTCTGGATACGCACACCTCTCGTTGTGTATCCTTCAGGTTGCGCACACGGCAAACCCGGCAGTACCGCGCACATGAGCAGAAGCGGCACCTCCAGTTGTGAATTCCTTGAGACCTGACTAGAGCTCCTGAACGGGTCGCATGTGCAATAGGACCCAGCAGAGCCTTGCACCGCCACAATGAGGAGGGACCTGTTGTAGCCCCCCGGATCAGCTCCCACCCTGTTTGGAAGGGTCCCCTAACTCTGAAAAAGATTTGGGGCGCATGCAGAGGACTGGGCAGGGAGGATTGGCAAAAATAGCCTATTTCCCCATTCCACTAACGGAAGACTGCTGGATCAGACAGCCTTCCATCAGTGCAAAGGAAATTTTCAGATACCACCTCATGTGTCCTTAGTCTTAATCCAGGTCTTCTCTCATATACCCCTCCATCTTACTAATCGCCCAACCATATTGGATGTCTTCTTGTTGCAAATACCAGAATATATATTGTCACATTTTTTTCTGAGAATGCTATGAATTTTGTCACTTGCCCTTTGTCTCTGTACTACAGATGAAATCTAACAGGTGGTGAGAACGCAAGCAATGCAGGGATTATGAGTGATATTCTCATTTGAGAAAGTAATTATTTCATCTGATTATGCATTGCATTGTATTCATGATCAGAACACCAGAAATTATTCAATTGTTTTAATGCTTCAGCAAATAATTCAGGTTATCCATTTCTTTCCCATTCTAGCAGTCGGGGGATTTTTTTTATATATTTTCATTTTCTTTAGCCTTGCTTAATTGGCTTGGGTGCACAGTTACTTTTGGATACAGTGGTAGGAATTTTGTAAAATACGCAATGCTGGAAAGAGGATACATAGGTTGAATCTGAAGGCTGACCTGTGCCAGAGTGTGAAATACATGATCATTAACAAAAGTGAATGGCTGCTCAAGGTTTGAGAAAGAATTAAATTTGTTAAGATGACATCATGCCAGCTACCTATCCACAGTTACTGAGGAAAACGTGGAGGCTGGCTTGCAAGTTTGGTACTTGTCTGCTCAGCAGCCCCATTTGATTCAGTGGAGCTTACACCATGGTAAATGAAGAGTTTGGAATTGATATCCCGCTTTATCACTACCCGAAGGAGTCTCAAAGCGGCTAACATTCTCCTTTCCCTTCCTCCCCCACAACAAACACTCTGTGAGGTGAGTGGGGCTGAGAGACTTCAGAGAAGTGTGACTAGCCCAAGGTCACCCAGCAGCTGCATGTGGAGGAGCGGACCCGGTTCCCCAGATTACGAGACTACCGCTCTTAACCACTACACCACACTGGCTCTCATGGATATAGGATTGCAGTCTGCAGCAAAATATTCTAAGCAGAATATTTAAAATTGATTTAAAATATACTGACTGGTTTCAGTTATGTGGCAAGGAACCTATTAGTTCTTTGGTATAGTAAATAAATATAGCGAGTGGATAAATGCAGGAAATCTCTCTTTGTTTCTCCCCACCTGGTTTTGGGATCTGCCTCATGCTAAGGCATCACCTGCCCTATATATTTAAACCAATATCACACCACTTTAAACAGCCATGGCTCCCCCCAAAGCACCCTGGCAGCTCTACTTTGTTAAGAGTGCTGATAATTGTTAGGAGATCCCCTATTCCCTTTGCAGAGTTCCCTGGGAAAAGGAACGGACTGTCAAACGAGAGGAACATGCTCAAAGACAGACTCAGGCTTCCCAAAGTTTGGGTTCGGCTGTTGGAGAGGCCTGTTCACAGTCCCTACTCTCTATATTTCACATGGCAGAGGGTCACACAAAAGGCCTCTCCTAAAGACATTAGCTTACAGGTAAATTCACGTGGGTGGAGGTGATAAGACAGGCTCCTCAGTTGTAGGGAAAGTTCTCAAATTCTGTTCACATTCCTCACTCAGCATGAGGAAGGTTGGGGACTGAACACCCCCCTGTCCTCCAGCTCTGGATTCAGCTCCTGGTCCAGGTGTGAGCTCCAGCTGGCTATCATGCAGAAAAAAATGGGAAAGAGAGAGCAAATAATGATGTTGAAATAGACAGAGGTGATGGCATGGCTGGCCATGCCAGGCTTGATCAACATACAGGAAGTAAGGTGATGCCAACACTCCTGATTGGCTGAGGTTGAGCGAGGAGAGGGAGTGGGGAGCAGTTGCCAGCCAGCAAAGACGGATGTGTTTGTCAATGTCATTTTTTCTCAGTTTTTCATTTGTTTCCAATCTTAAACTGAGTTCTGCCCATTTCCAGATCAGTTTGTGGTTTTAAAAAACCATGAAAATTCACATACTTTCATGTGCATTTCTTGATGTACACGTGTTCACATGCAACTTCCCTATATATGCGCAGCTTTGCAAGCAATGTTACCCAGTGCAATGGATTCTGTACATTATTTTCACCGATATACTCTCCCCTAATACGTGCTTTTCAAATTCCATTTTTTTTAAAAAAAAGATATAGAACTGCATTGCAAATTTTAGAGGAGTGCAAATTTTGAAGGATAGCCTTATTTCAGTTCACATATACTCATTTGGGAAGATGTGATTGCATGGAAATGCGAACCCAACAATTCCTTTTCACCCCTGCTGGCCAGTCCTCCTCCCTTCACTCAGGATGGGAGGTAGGTGAGGTTGGGGGGGGGGGGAGGAAGCAGGAGGAATAAGTGGGGTGGAGGGTGGGAGGAAGGAGATTTGGCAAATGCAGCCTGGCTGCAGAATTCAGTGGGTCCCTTGGGTCCCCAGAATTCTTGGTCCCTTGGACCAAGAGTTATCTATCCATACCCCATTGCCAAAATTATTATCTCATATATACTGTATGCTTCCAGTGGAAACTCCTTAACAGTTAGACATATAGCTGCTGCTTTCTAATGTGACAGAAAAGCATAAAATAGTGTGCTTTTGTGCACTGGGAAATTGCTTTCTGGAATTTTTCTTATGAGGTGATAGTGGATGACATAATAATTCTGGGAGATTAAGTACTACTGAAGTTGGACATTGAGTTTATTAAATCTATTCTATCATTGTATTATTTGAAGTTTAGTTTGTTTAATGTCAAAGCTTTGGAGCGATTATTGACTTCTTCTTTTTTAAAAAGGCTGTCTTTAAAACCGGATATGGATGCAAAGATTTTCATTTTGATGATTTGAATCTGAAGCGTTTGGAAACCATTAATGTCAAGAGTAGGCAAGTCAGGAAAGGTTCAGCTGAAATGACCACGGGCCGAATAGAATTACACTAGCAGCAATATTTGTTTTAGAGAGGACATAACGGGGCGTATGCAATAGGGGACAATTGCTCCTTTGAAATCGAGGTCAGGCAACTAATGATAGATGCATGCCTGAAAGGTGGGAAAGGATTTTTTGGGACACCGTTACGTACCGTACCTGCAGACTGCATTGGACTGTCATCTGGTTTGGGTGGGTTGATCTGTATGATGCAATATAAGAAGATTATCACTTGCCCACCCCTGTGTATAGCCAGGGCAGATTCTGACTGCTCAGGGCTTGGAGTCGAATGTGGCAGGTGAGGAGGCAGCATCAGGGTGGAACCTGGGCAGAATCTGATGGGATGAATGGCAGAGCCAGTGTGGGGACTTTGTGAGATACTTGGTGGAGCCTGGATGCTTGCTAGAGGTGGAGTGAAGAGTAGCCCAAAGATCTTTGCTGACCTCGCTCTGAGTTTTACTGTTATCTCAGACCCCAATACTGATTACCTGCCAGAACGTGGTGTTACGGATTGGACTAGAAAAGTACAGTGGTACCTCGGGTTACATACGCTTCAGGTTACAGACTCCACTAACCCAGAAATATTACCTCAGGTTAAGAACTTTGCTTCAGGATGAGAACAGAAATCGTGCTACGGCAGTGCAGCGGCAGCAGGAGGCCCCATTAGCTAAAGTGGTACCTCAGGTTAAGAACAGTTTCAGGTTAAGAACGGACTTCCGGAACAAATTAAGTACTTAACCCAAGATACCACTGTAATGACTGTAATCTTATCCCACCAATTAGCTCCATCCAAGCTATGACTCTGTGTTGCATAAGGCTGCAATCTTAGGCACACTTACCTGGGAGTAAGCTGCTTTAAACTTGATGGAACTTACTTCTGAGTAGACATCCACAGGCACAAGCGGTGAGCATGGTCTGAGATGTTTGGTCTCAGGCCTAATAATACCAAAGGACAAACCAGAACTTCAACCCTCACTTACCACTTGCCAAAGTCCTTCTCAGCTGTTCAAAATCGTGTTCCTGATGACAGTTCAAGCCAGGCTGAGATCATTTTAGTTTACTCATTTCCATCCTTTTGTGCACAAACCATCACACTGAGGGTCTGAGTCTAAAGCAAGGAAGGAGAAAACTCCCTAGAATCACAAGTGAAGGAAACACATCATTGTTTTTGCAGATTACTCTAAATCAGCTTGTTGCCTACACTTGGAAATAACAAACCTGGACTGGCTGCCAACAGTTTGCAGAGAACTATGGAAGAGATTTTATGGCTGCGGAAAGTTGAAGGCCACTAAATCCCATGTATGAATTTCTTTTTTCTTTTTAACTGGGAATCCCTTTCAAAGTGATGAAGTCATCCTGACACAGGCATGAGTTTCCCGCCACCTGCTTCCTATCAATGAAGTTACAAAATCATTTTATCTGCTATATTAGAATATTCTTGTTTATAGATTCGAGTTTAATTTAAGGCAGTTCGTAATCTTTCAAAATTAGCTACCATCTAATTAGATAATGAGCCATGGGCAAATCTGTCAGCGGCATCCCAATATTTACTCTTTATTTAATGATAAACTGGTTTTGGGCATTTGCTATTTTCTCAGAAGTGTGTGTGTGTGTGTGTGTGTGTGTGTGTGTGTGTGTATTCACATATCTGAGCATGTGAATGGTCAAACTTCACCGGGGTGGAGGCATACATGCATATAAGCCTTGGCTCTGAGCAGGAGGGGACGTGGGTGGTTCTGTGGGTTAAACCACAGAGCCTAGGACTTGCCAATCAGAAGGTCGGGGGTTCAAATCCCCGCAACAGGGTGAGCTCCCGTTGCTCAGTCCCTGCTCCTGCCAACCTAGCAGTTCGAAAGCACATCAAAGTGCAAGTAGATAAATATGTACCGCTCCAGCGGGAAGGTAAATGGCATTTCCGTGCACTGCTCTGGTTCACCAGAAGCGGCTTAGTCATGCTGGTCACATGACCCGGAAGCTGTATGCCGGCTCCCTCGGCCAATAAAGCAAGATGAGCGCTGCAACCCCAGAGTCATTTCTGACTGGACCTAATGGTCAGGGGTCCCTTTACCTTTACCTGCGCAGGAGAACACCCCTTCAGACTTTTGTAGGTTTAGTGCAAAGGTCCAAAGGGGGCTTTTACAGGCATTCTGTCGGATGCCCTCCGAAACCTCTCTGCAACTGGGAATCTGAATGGGGCAGGGAGAAGATCTTTTAACACGCTTAAAACGCCTTCAGACCTTTGTGTGAATGTGACCTGCACGACCGCACAAAGGTCTGAAGAAGAGCCAATGTGCCCAGGGACTTTGGGGTGGGGTCTTGCGTGAACTGCACACCCCTCCCCTCATTCACAGCGTGTTCAGGTAAATAGCAGAATGCACCTGAGGCAATGTGTTTCCGGAATTAGAAGGAATTAGATGAAGAAGGATGAACTGATAGAGCATTGGGGAGGCAGAAGTCAAAACCGGGCCCTGCCCGGAATGTCTGTTTACCAAGCCTGGTTGTCTATATAGAGAAGCTTTTGAATGGAACGTCGACTGTTTTCTTGCATCCACATAGTAGCTGTTCTGCCTTGAGTGGCAATGGTATTTCTAATTAGTTTTCAAACCTGTCCTTTTCTGTTACTTTGTTTTAAGCTGTCCTAGGGTAAACATATGGATGCAGTCATTGGCTATTCAAACCAGCTATCCTAAAGGGTTTCTACTGAGTAATTCTTCTACAGGAAAGCAGCTACAGCTGTTTAACTCTGCCGCAAGGTGAAATGATGCTTGTCCAGAATGCTGGAAGAGCAGTCACTGCAGTAAACAGATAAAATGGAAAGACGGAATAGATGAGACAGGTGTTGAATAGCAAGGAGACAGATTAGCCCGGGCTCGACAGGCAAAAGCACGTCAGAGCACAGAATCCTAAACTAAGAGTGATCCTTATTTCTGGTTTCCATATGACAGCAAGGGGCTGCATCTCTGCAGGGAAACCCAATCTGAGAATTACCATCAGGATTCAAATGGGGCTGGTTTAATTGCAGTCCAGTGGCAGAGCTGGGAGTGCCAGGGTTGCGAGAGTGTCAGGCTAGAACCTGTGGCAGCCGGCTTCAAATCCCCACTCAGCCATGACATTTAATGGAGGACCTTGAGCCAACCACTCCTTCTCAGCCTTACCTACCTCACAGGGTTTTGGTGGGGATTAGACGAGGAGGGAGACAATGATGTACTCTACCAAGCATAGGCAAACTTGGCCCTCCAGATGTTTTGGGACTACAACTCCCATCATCCCTAGCTAACAGGACCAGTGGTCGGGGATGATGGGAGTTGTAGTTCCAAAACATCTGGAGGGCTGAGTTTGCCTATGCCTGTACTCTACCTTCAACTCCTTGGGAGGTGGGATATAAATGCAATTAAAAAATGAAGAACCACAAGTTAAGTGTGATTTTGACAAACACTATTTCTCAGCTTCAGTTCTCGGCTGTCCATTGGGCAAACTAGTGACAAGAAGGCTGTGAGCAGATGAGGGTGGGGATACTCACCTGTCCTCTGGCCGGGGTGTTGCTGCTGTTTACATCACTGTTCGACCTCCTCGTAAGCAACGACACAATCAACTACAGCTCAGGTGAGCAACGCTGCTCTACCATGCCACCTGCTACTGAGTGAAGAACTATAAATTAAGAGACCTGAATACATTTTAAATAGCACCATTATTTACTATTTAGTTGTTCAATTTATCACCCACCCTTCGCCGTAAGGCTTCAGGATGGGTTACAACAATTTAAAATGCAATGTAAAACAAACCATAGTCTCAAGAATAGGGTGGGTCTCCAAAATACGTCAGGTGTCACAGGCCAGGATGAAGAGCTGGATCTTCATGCTATTCCACACTTCCGTTTTGAGCACTTTTGCCTTTGCCCTGCCACTTCCCCCCAGAAAACCCACTCTTTAGTGCTAAATCGGAACATTCAACAATCCATGGAAAACTCAATTGTTGTTGGTTCCAACTCAGCACTAAAGATCAGGTTTCCCAGCATGGAAGCAGCAAAGCCAGCGGAGGTGTGAGGATAATCCCTTCGGCATACAATGAGAACTGATAATGAAGATGCCAGATCCCTGCTAGGAGGGAAGTCTACAGTTAGGGGCTGCCAGAGAGCATGCTGTCTCCTGGGCCACCATCCCTTGAACTTCCGAAGGCGTTGGAACTGCCAAGAAAGCCCCCAAGAGGCTCTGTAGGGAAGGAGGTGGTCTCTTATATGTTTGAGGCCTAAGTTGTTTAGTGCTTTAACCACCTAATGTAAGCACCTGGAATATGAAGACCATTATTCTTCCGATTATTTTAAGAGCTTGATTTTGACTGAAAGTTGATAATGGCAAGTTGATGGAGCGATATCTCAGATTTGGGATGACTAATCACACCTTCCTATGTATTTTTGCAGCACATAGAAAAATGGACTTCATTTTTTGACCAATTTAGAACTGGAAATGTAGCCTCCCTGTATATGCATTCATTGTTTGTCAAACTGGTTTTTTTCCCCAACTCAGGGATGATCTCTAAATGGTATTTAAAAACTGAGGAGGCAGAAAAATGATATTTTTGCCATTCAAATTGGGAGAGAGGTTTTGATCTGATGTTCAGCTAGATTAGAAGCGATCAGGAAAGTGTGCGCACTGCAGAGGCCATTCAAATGGTCAGTGGGAATCTAATTCAGGACTGGTGGTTTTTTTGCTGCCTGTTTTTAGGAGTCTACTTAGGCAATTGTAAGTAGATAGATTCCAAAGGCAGCATGGGTCTCAATTGCTCATTCATTGAAAAGAATCTGAAGTCTGTAGCACTGCTGCTGGACGTTTGCCTGCTCATGAAGAGATTAATATCCTATTCCCTGGAAAAAAACTCTGGTTCATTCATTGGCGGATACTGCGACTTTTAAGCCACTGCATAATGGAGGCTGCCAGAAAAAAACACAGTGCCAAACATTTTAAAATAATGACTAAACCGGAGGTATCTGTACTTTTGCCTGCGTCCTGTACACTCAAATGAGAGAATGAACTATTCATATGAAATTATTCACTGTGAATTATGTGCTCCATTCTGCACTTAAATACATCTGCCAGGATCACCAAACAGGGCTGGATGACTAAAGTAATGAAGTGACCAAGATAATAGAAACTGCCTGCTGTTTCAACTCTGCCCCAAAAGACGCGTCAGCTGATTATTTGCAGATGTTCTTTCTCCAGCTTGATGGCGAAGCTGTGCCTGTAAAGTCTTTTGAACTTGACTTTTTGTTCCTGGATTTGTTTTCTAATTGGCCAAGCACCCCGTGATCTGAAGTCACAACCTATACCAATTACAATATTTATTCATCTATTTTGTTCCAAGAAAAGAGAACTTAGAGCAACAATTGTACACTTGTCGTGTCAGTTGGGAAGCCCTAGGAAATGGTGGAAGCCTCCTCCCTTTGCTCCAATGGTAGAATGTGAGCTGTGTTGACATAACTGGGTGCTGCCACACACACACACAGAGTTCCCCTGCAAGCAGGGCTGTCTTAAGCATATCTGGCGCTGTGGTGCAAAGCTCCCTCCAGCGTTCCCTCCCCCCATTTCCCAGAGTTGTCAATAATTTTTTTAGGGAGGACGGTGCTGCCGGTGGGGCTGGAGGAAGTGGGCAGTGGTTGGAGGGGGTGGCTTCTCCAGCGGGGAAGAGGTGGAGGCTGGACGTGGTGCCTCCCAGCTCAGCTGGCCTCTTCGTGCCACAGTGGCCATGGCAAACAGAAGCTCCGGGAGCGGCGCTGCTTCAGCGAGGGTGGCAAGTTGATGCCAGGAGGCTCCACGTCCAGCCTCTGCCTCTTCCCTGGCACTCTCCAGAACTTGGTGCCCTGGCACCCCGCGCCACTAGCCTCTATGGGTAAGACACCCCAGCCTGCAAGCCCCAAGAAGGAGGTATGGTTGGAAAAACAGGCTTAGGCACTGATGGAGCCCTCTCTCCTCCACACTGGGACAATGTGTTGCAGGTTCTTTATCTGGGTCAAAACAGGCCACACTCCAACGGGAACAGGACCCCACCCTCTTCCATGATGGCCAGGAGTAAGGCTCACAGCATGACCAGCAGCAGTGACCAGGTTGGCATTGGTTGTGTTAGAATTCCTGCTCCGTGATTGCAGTCATGGGATTGTTGTTTATCACATGACGGTGTATGTTTTGACTCCACAGAGTGGGAAGTGACAGAGACAGGATGTTTGTGTTACTGTGTTCCATGAAGTGGGACTATTGTCCTTTGTTCTTTTGCTCTTTGCTGTCTGATGCTAGAGAGAGAGGGAGCCATGTTGCAGTGCTCCGTGTGTGTTTATATGTAAATAAAGTAGATTAGCCAAAATGCTAAGTTGCTGGGGTCTGTTATGCAAGCTGCGCAAACTCTGGGGTCCCTAAGTGTGCCGATGTCTGTTGGCATCGGTCACTGTGATTTTCGGGCTGAAGAAAGCTTCTGAAGCTCCCTAACAATTGTCCAGGAGGGAGAGAACATGCCAGTCGGGCATGTGTCTCTGCCAGGGTCCTACTTGAGTGTAGGGCGAGCTCCTGACAGGTTGTTCCTCTGCAGGGTTGCCAACCTACTTGCTCCAGACAGAGTCTTCCACACTTGCCAGCTCTGCTGGCGTTATGCAAGATGTTAGAGTGTTTCTAACATGGGGCTCCTGCACCTGTTACCTTGCTGCCCCTTGAGCCACTTGGGCTGAGTGGTTGGCACCCCCCATCTTTTCCTTTCAATATCTTCCCCATCGCAGAGGTTATTCAAGAAAGGCTGTGACGTTGCCACATGTGTCGCTTCCTAGCTGCTTGTGCTGGTCCCGAGGGTTAACCGTGCGGCAAGGTCCGAGTCCAGTCCGAGGTCGAGGGTGCGGTATGGAGGCTGTCCATCAAAGCTGAAGTGGGATCCAAGGCAGGGAGTCGGGTGAGGTCAGGAACTCTGGCAGAAGAGCAGGACAGGGTGCAGGCAGGAACAGGCTACCAACAATGTTGCTCCCGCAACCTGGGACTGGGACTGGCTGGTTTTTATCTGCCCCGAGGCATAGGGCAGCCCCGGTCCACAGGTGACTCGCCTCTCCTGGCCTGGAGGTGAGCAATCCTCCTGCGGGAACTTAGTTCCCTCCACCTTTCTGCCCTGAACCTCTGCAGCTCAGGAGAGGCTGGAGGGTTACCGGACCCAGAGGCAACCTCAGCTCTCCCTGACGGGGCTGAGAGTGGAGCACCTGCAGGCAATGGGTCCTCCATCACCTCAGGAGCCAGAGCAGACTCAGCTGGTGCCTGCACCTGAGGATCCAGCACAGGTGAGGACCCTTCAGGCTCAAGCCCCAGCCCTGGCTCAGCTGGTTCTGGAGGCAGGGACTCCTGTGCAGGCTGGGATTCCTCAGGTTCAGCCTCCGAGTCCAAATCCCAGACCATCACACTGCTAGGAAGTCAAAGGGATTCTTTTGCTTAGTGGCAACTTGATGTCACTAAGGCTCAGCGGTAGAGGCCCTTCCAGTCTCTGCTCGCTTGGCTCTCCTGTACTGTGGCAATGATAGATGTAGCAGAGCATGCTAGCTGGATCCATGCTGCTGCCACGGTGTAGGAGGCAATGAGATCAGGGTGGAGAAGCAGCAGAAGCAGGCATGGCGGGGCCTCGGTGTGGGAGCCTCTCTCTACCCATTGCAGTGTGGAGATGGTCTCAAAATTCTCAGCCCAAGAAAATGGCAACATTTACTGCAGGGAGACAGGAAGAAAATACACTCTAATCTGGGGGTCTTTTTCTTTCCAGAGAAGGCAGAAAAAAGTGTGCTTTTGGAGAGATTTTGCTAACTTTAGTCTTTATGATAATATGAGTCTTGTTCAAGAAATTGTTTTTACTGTTTTTGGAAGCACACAGATGGGATCTGAATAAGCTGGTCTGACACTGAAGTCGGATAATGCTCTGCAGAAGGAAATCTGTTGTACATTACATTAAAGAGAGAAAGAAATTGGAGAAGTGACATAATGAAGTTAGATTTATTTCTTCAGCTGTTGAATTTGGAGATGATCCTGCAGAACTCTCAGGTTCATGCTTTTGCTGAGCTGTTAAGCATAAAGCTGTAATCCAAAGCATATTTACTAGGAACTGAGGATGCTATTCTGTACACACATATATAGGAGCAAGTCCCATGCGAAGGAGGAAATCTGCTTATGATCAGACTGTTGATTCTGTATGTTGGCTACTTGGCTGGCTAAAGCGAACAACAATCATTTGGTCAATTCAGCCTTGGTCAGACCAGGCTCAAAACCAAAGTCCTTTTTAAATAAAATAAAAGGGCTGAAGAATAAAAAAAACACTCTAGAAATAAATGCCCTTGAGGTAATGAGAACACTTCTCCACTATGAACGCTAAGGATTTGGCTATCAATGGGCAGTACAAATTAGAAAGAAACTTCTTCTCCTTCTTTCTTCTTTGGCGATCAGTCATAGCTGAGTAATATTGTCTTCCATAAACTCGGTTTTAACAGTAAGTCCATAAGTGACTGTGGAGGCCAATTCTGGATCCACACATCCTTCCACAGTGGGGACATAGGTTTCCGGGCGGGAGTTGATCACGGTGAGGGTTTGCCAAGTGTGCCTTCCTCTTAGCATGTTTCTCCCTTTATTCCTAAGTTTTAGCATCTTCAAAGCCCATGTTCTCCAATTGGAGCACTTGAGGGCCAGCGTTTCCCAGTTGTCGGTGTTTATACTACATTTAAAAAAGATTTACCTTGAGAGAGTTTTTAAACCTCTTTTGTTGACCACCAGCATTATGCTTTCGATTTTTAAGTTCGGAATAGAGTAGTTGCTTTGGAAGATGATAATTGGGCATCCGAACAACATGGCCAGTCCAACGAAGTTGATGTTGAAGAATCATTGCTTCGGCACTGGTGATCCTTGCTTCTTCCAAGAAACAAATAGTGTGGTGTAGTGTCGGACTAGGACCTGGGAGTCCAGGGTTCGAATGCCAACTCAACTATGAAGCTCACTGGGTGGGCTTGCACCAGTCACTCACTTACCTAACCAACCTCACAGGGCTGTGGTGGGAATAACATGGAGAGGTGGAGACCTGTGTATTCCACCTTGCTCTCCTTGGAGAAATAAGTGGGAAATATAAGTAATAACTAACTAATTAAATAACTAAACATTCTCCTTTCTTAAACGTCTCTGCTCTTTGAAAAGGAACTTTTCTGGGGGATCTTTGGAAGCACATCAGAGGTAAGTGAGATGGGAATCTCACAAGAACTTTGTAGAGGAAAAGGAATGGAATGATGTGACTGTTGTTGCTGAGGACAGACAAGAGTTTTTTCATTTGTTTACTGATGTTGAATGCACAAATTGGTTTGTACTCTGCAATCCAAATCACCACTACTATCATTGTTGGCTAGATGCAGTCAAGTGCTTATTTATTTAAGAACATTTTAAACCAACCCTTCACTGACTAGCAATCTCAGGGTGGAGTGCAACAAAGCAAATAGAAAATAAAATAAAAATAACAATTACATCAAGATCAGATCAAAGGCCAGGTTGTTGTGTGTGTTTTTAACAACTCGAACAACAAACATAGCAAAAAGCAAATTGCCTGAGCAAATAAATATGCTTTCAGCTGACAACGAAAACTCAACAGAGTCAGAGCCAGCTATCCGAGGGGCAGACTTTCCAGAGAGAGGCTGCCACACCAGAGAGGTCCCTCTTGTAGATTGCCACAAAAGGGCATGATCTGAACTCATGATCTGAACTCGGAGGCAGGTTGGTTCAGAGGAAGATGCTCCTTGAAGTATTTAGGTCCCAAGTTGTTTAGGGCTTTTTAAGTAATCACGAGAAGGGGCATACATAGAGGTTAGCCAGGTGGGCCTCTGCCAAGGGTGCAGGTCCAGGAGGGCACAAAAACCATGCCTCTCTGAAGTGCAGGTGGGCTCAGGCATGACCCAAGACCAGATTTCAGCTCAAAAAGGATTTATTGTAACATCAAGAAGGATGGCAAACAGAGGCACTCAGCCCAGACAACACACCTCCCCGCCTGTGATAGGTCGCCTTATGCTGTGACTGGCGAATCACAATGCTGGCCCTATCGCAGCAGGGATTGGCTGCCTGCCATCTACCAGCAAATGTCATTGGAGGGTTTTAGAATCCTGTCTTTTGTGATGCGGGTGAAGCTCCTGAGCTCCAGGTGGCAGCAATGGCTAGGCTTGCAGTCTTCACTCTGGCTCACAGGAGCTAGGAACCCGCCCATTTGTGGCCATCCCCAGGCTGCTCCTCCATTGCTCTGGGTGGCTAGATGAAGCCCCGGGCACTTTGGTGGAGGCTACCTCTCCAGTTTGGCTGCTGGTGTTATTAGAAGTCTGACCGGAGCGCCCAGCATGACTCAGAGGGAAGAAAGGCGGAGAGATCAGGTGAGAGTTGCAGCAGGAGGAAAAAGGGAGGGAGGCAGAGAAGTAGAAGGAAAGGGGCAGAGCAGACTCAGTCCCCACGGGCACAGAGGAAATTGCTGGAGGAGCACAGAAAAGCAAACTTTCTGCATTTCTGGTCCCTGGTCTTTCCCAGTTTTGGAGGTACCGATACATCAGTGCCAGATTTACGTATAAGCTAAACAAGCTATATATTGGGCCCCACACTCTTTGGGCCTTCAAAAAAAATTAAAGAAAAAAACCACTGGATGTACATTTCCAAAATATAAGATAAAAAACAAATAAAATAAAACCAGTGTTTTGTGTTGTGTAGGCCCCTATGATGTAAATAATGGGCCCCGCCTGCTAGCCAGCTATCCAAAATATCACTGGTTTGCTCCTTTCTATGTATAGGGTGCCTACATTCTGCATGGACTGGTTATTTTGTTATGTGCAAATGGCTTTAGATACCTATTAGGTCCATAAATTACCATATAGCATATATGCAACACAAAAAGCAGCAACCTTTTGTTGTTGACAAAGGACAGCTGGACATGTAAAGGGCTCCATTGCTTTCAGTAGCTTAGGGCCTCGTCAAACCTAAATCCGGCCCTGGTGCCGGTACAGCTGTTTGACAAGGGTGCAAGGGAACCTAGGTGCACCTCTGACAAGCACCTTGAATTTGACCCAGTAGCATATCGCCAGGCAGTGCAATGCCTTCATGACCTCTGTGAAATGATGTTGACAAGCTGCTAAGCTCAACATGCACAAGCCGCAGCACGCGGTCCATTTTTGAAGGCAGCCCCGTAAAGATCCCTTTACAGTAGTCCAACCAAGTGTTGTTTGAGGTTGCAGAAATACAAACTTGAGGAAGCATAATGTCACCGTTGTGACATAACATTTATTCCCTGTGACAATAATGGGAATCCTATAGAGAGTGTTTTTATTTTTGTGTAAAATGGAGACGTCTGAATTGTTAAGGTGCATTAGACAATTGGTAACTTGAAAGGGCCTTCATTCGGCATTTTGTGGTCCTTCTAAAATGCCAAACAAAACATTGGAGCCCAAGTGGAAGTAAACAAAATTATATGCAGCACAATTGATCCAATACGGAGCATCTTTAAATTCCACTGTGCAAGAAATGCTTGCCATTCACTGGATCTTGCCCATGTTTATTGCAGTTCATCATGATTCTATTTAAATTTGGAAATTAAATAAAAAACACCACAGTGAAACACTCGAGGAAAATTTTCTCTTCATTCCCTTCTTCGCCGTTCTGCCTCCTTCTCTTCCAAGGAAACAAGATTAATGGCATTTTTACTGGAATCGGTCTATTACAAGATGATTACATTTAGATTAAGGAATGGTAGATTTATAGAGAACTCAAATATATTGAAGATGGAGAGCTCATTTAAAGGGCTGGGAAGAATTTATGGGTTGTAAATACAGATGCTTTTTATATATATAAAGAATGCTTGTAGTTTGTCAGTAAATGCAAGTTAGAATACAATCACTGTTCTAAGCTAAGTTTTTCTTCAAATGATCAGGTCTCTTATTCCACATTTGGTTGGGATTGGCAGTGTGCCCCTTCCAATCCACTTTGTCACTTGTTATGGGACAACCTTTTTCATTGTACGCCTTTACAACGTGGGTGTAAAGTCTGGGTGTTCCTGGGCTAAAACTTCCATCACCCCTGACTGTCGACCATGGTGCGGAGAGGAATGGGGCACTGATGGGAGTTGCAGTCCAAGAACACTGGAGGGTCACAGGTCAGCTACCACTGTTTTATAGAACCGGATAGTTTCTCTTGCTGCTTGCTTTGGTAGTTGAAGCAACCCTTTTGCTGCATTCAAGACTGGAAGCACCGATCACTCCCGCACTGTAAAAATAATAATAAAGAATGAATACTGGTTCCTGGTGTGGACAAGGGCTACTGACATTTGCAAGGGCAATGATGTCGTGCACTTGCATGTTGTGGACGGAGACCCTTCCTGCCTCCACCACCACCTCCGTGCTAGATTACCAGGCAGTGGATCCCAACAGTTCTGCTGAGCTAAGTGCACCTCTCAGCCATGCCCCATCTGAGGAGTGCAGTTGCTGAGCAGGGACCTACATAGCGTGAGGTGGTACCTGAGGAACCCTTGGTTGCAAGTTGTTTCTGTGGTAAAGAGCAACAACTATTCACAAAATGAGCACAGTTTTGTGGCACCTTAAACGTATAGGACATGGGTTTTTGTGGGCATGTTAAGGGAGGCAGGAAAAGATATATTGTTTATTAATATCCTTCCTAACTTGCGCTAGCAAGTTCTGTAACTTAGCAGAGTTTTACATTCCCCTTTTAAAGGCACAGTAGATATAGCTGGTTGCAGGCTTGTTTAAGCCTCTTAATATTAGATTCCTGGTAAGTTCCCTTATACCCTCCTTAAAAGAATAAACACGCCACAATCTTGTGTAAAGTATATAAAAGAAGTTTACTCACATTATCAGTTCACAGTTGGATCCCTGAAGGCAGACTTAATTACAAAGTATATACATGTGGATCTATCCCATATGGAGATAATCCCAGTGTCCTCTGTTGGCTGAGAGCTGGTTCAACAATGGAGGAAGTCAAAAAGGAAGAGATGGCTGCGTGCCTTGTCTTTTTTGTTACCTGGACAGGTAAGGCTAGGCCCACCTCTAGTCACATGCAAGGAAGGATGCTCCAGCCCAGGAGGAAACAGGAAGTTTCGACTGGCTGGACCAACATCCCCTTGCATGTCCACTCTAGGAAAACAAGGAATGTTGTACTTGACTGCTCCCAGTGGATTACATCCCACAGTTTTCTCAGTAGTGACGCCACAACTCTGGAACCGCAAAAAGGGAGACCATTGTCAGTAGATATGGATATTTATGGATATTAGATATGGATATGGATAGTAGATATGGATATTTAAATCCACAACCTAGGCATGCAACTCACTGGGCATTAGGTCTCTCTCTCGCTTTCTCCATGAGACCAAGCTTAGGAACTTGCCAAAATATGAAAACATGGTTATGAAGTGGACTCTAACTTATAATAAATTTGTTATTCTTTAAGGTGCCACAATACCCTGTTGCTTTATTCTGTATTATTATTGATTTTATTAGTCACCATCCAATACAAACCAATATTCCAAGTGAAGCAATAATACGATTTAAAACTAAGGCTGCAATCCTATGCCTATTTACCTAAAACTAAGCCTTATTGAAGTAATGGGACTTACTTTTGAGTAGACGTGCACAGGATTGCACTGTAAGAGTTTAAAATACTAAAGAGATTGCAGAGGCAACCCTCCATCCAGCTAGCAATATGCATAGCAGGGGTAGCCCTTAGTTGAATCAGAATAAAAATATTTTGCTTCTTTGTATTTGACATTATGAAGCTATCCTCCATCATTTTCTTCAAGCATCTGCAGCTGCGCTCCCTAGATATATTTATCCATTTGAGTTCACCTTGAGCTTATCATATGCACATCACCATAAAATGATTGGGTTCAGTTAACAAGATGCTTTCTTGGGTATTAATAAAACAAAATGAAGGACTAGAAATCTAAATCATCTTGGCCCAGAATCTCATGCCCTGGTGCCCAAAGACCTTACGCTGATCCTCATCATTCCTGGATATAATAATCACAAACAGCAGCACCATATAAAGATATAATTGAATGAGTTGTTAATGTGTGGGATGTGGAAAGCCCTGTGAGGAAAATTATGAGGTTGCTTTTGCTCTGTGACTCTTAGGAGCATTTCACAAATAAAAAGATCAAATCCATTTAAAATAAAATAAAAAATTAAAATCGAGGCCATCACAGAAGGATTCTGTAGTCTGAGAAATACAGGTAGATTTCAAGGCAAATGTCAAACAGTAAAGCCCATGGAACAGATGTCACTTTTTTAAATTAAATTTCTTAAACTTTCATTTGAAAACAACATAGTTTCATTGTACTGAGTAGAAGGACTGAAGAACATAAGTTAACTGTCTGCTATAATTATTATATGTACCTGTCTCCTACTGAATATATCTATATATCTTTATCTATGCTGATGACACTCTTCTTCAATTTTAAAAAATGTACCTTTCTATATCAAGTATGAAGCATAAATACATCTTCTATGAAATATATCTGTATCTAAGCTGATGATACTTTTATTCAACTATGAAGCATTAATCACTTAGCACAGTAAAAATGACTTTAAAAGTTTATTTGCTCATACTAATCACTGGTACAATTCTTTTTAAAATTGTAAGATCATCAAAATAAAAGTGAGCTTTGTTAAAGTTCCAGTAGTATGAAATCTCTAAAAATAATCCAGATCTATGTGTACTTTATCCAGTTCTATATATGCCAATTGTAGACTGCAAAAAAATGTTTCCAGATTTATTATTATTATTTATATATATATATAATATATAAATATTATATTTATACAGATGGGCACATCTGGCTAGTTTTGCCCAGCCACAACTGTGAAAGGATGGAGAGTTATTTTTTACACTAAGCCAGAACAGGAAAAATTAGAAATCGTGTATATTTCACATCAACAAATCAACCATATGCAAACTGGATGCCACTGACATGTCTTTTAGTTAAGCATTTCTGTTTATACATTTTATGGCTTAGGGCCCTTGTATCTACGGGACCGCTTCTCCTGGTATGCCCTGCAGAGGACCTTAAGGTCCATGAATAACCATAGTTTAGAGGTCCCGGGCCATAAGGAAGTCAGACTATCCTCCACCAGGGACAGGGCCTTCTCAGTGATGGCTCCGACCTGGTGGAATGCTCTGTCCCAGGAGACTAGGGCCCTGCAGGACTTTCTCTCCTTCTGTAGGGTCTGTAAGACAGAGCTATTCAGCCTGGCGTTCAATTTGAATTAGCCTGATCCTCTATTCCCTTTCCCCCTTTCCTCTTCTATGAAGAAACCCTTTCTGGGACCACACATTTAAATTCTTCCCTGGCCTCCTTGCTGGCCCTAGTAGGACCAATTCAGTCAGCTAGCCCTGGGGATTATCTAATTGATTTTTGAATTTTATTGTTATTCATGTTTTTATTCTGTATTTTATGCTGCTTTTATAATTAAGTGTTTTAAAGTGTTTTAAATTTGTTGTTAGCCACACCGAGCCCGGTTTTTGAACCAGGAAAGGAGGGGGGGGGAATAAATTATTATTATTATTATTATTATTATTATTATATTTTTGCATATCTCACCTTGAGAACATCTGATGAGAAAGCAACTGAGATTTGGGTTTTATATATATAAATAATAAATAAATAAATAAATATTAAAAGATAGGCTAGATTATGGCCTCAGATTGGGGTAGAGCCCTTGAGATGCTGTTCATCTCTGATCATCCTCAGCCTGAAGGGCCAATAATGGATGATGGGAAATTAGTCCAACATTATCTGTAGGAAACCACAGTGGCAATGCTTCCCTCAGATCATACAGGATTATAATCTGAAAATGCTATTACTATAAATTGAAATGAAAAGTGGGGAGTCGGCTCATTTTTTGTAATGTATATGTCGCTTTTACCGAAATTGCAGAGCTATATTAATTCATTCCAATTGGAAAATAACTCCGGATAGGTATGGATTTGAGCAGAGACAGATTATGAATTACCAAATTGTTATTTCTTCCTTTCTTTCGGCTGCCACCACAAATGACAGCGGCAGCCATGTTGACAGCCTGACAACCATTTTGCATCCATTCTGTGGCATTGTCGGGGGCGGGGGTGTTTGCTGCCAAACAAACAAAAATGGTTTAAAATATTCAGGGGGAGAAATCTATGCGTTAGACTTCTACCCCCTGAGGAGTTTGAAAAATAAAAATCTCAGAAATTTTCTCAGGGGGAAAAAACAAAAACTATTTTACAGCTAATCTGTAATTCCATTGCCTGAGCCTAATCTCCAATGAGAACTAAGCCTGGTCTACTTCTGCTTTCTTGTCTTAGCAGCCAGCTGAGCTACTTGATCTCATCAGCTTGAAGTGGACTTTTATTGATCACCAGAAAAATAGAATATCTATGAAGGGGGAGGACTTTGAAGTCCTGAAATGTAGTCCAATCCATTTAACTGAGAGGCACTTAGACCTGCTTCATAGACTTAGACCTTTCTGCACTCAGATACATAATGTGGGAGGTGTCAGTGACGCAAAGTGCACATCCATGCATTTTTCAGTGCTCTCCTTTGTAAAATGCACATCTTCTTGACCCACTTGCAGGCCCAGGCTGTGCGCACACACACACACACACAACCGGCTCAGATGCGCTACCAAAAAATGACACCACACCACTGAATGGGATCAAATCAGGCTGCAACTTTTATTGACTACAGATGAAGAAGTTTGGCCTAGGCCAGGCTTCCTCAGCCTCGGCCCTCCAGATGTTTTTGGCCTACAACTCCCATGATCCCTAGCTAGCAGGACCAGTGGTCAGGGATGCTGGGAATTGTAGTCCCAAACATCTGGAGGGCCGGGGTTGAGGAAGCCTGGCATAGGCAATAGGTAACTGTTATGTACTGAAATATACTTGGAGTCGAGAGTGGATTTCATGCTCTTTATTCAGCTCATAGTGGTGAGGAGGAATGGGTTCCCCCAAAGTATCTGCTTTATATACATTATTTACACAGTGGGCTGCACGTGATTGGCTAATTCCGGGATTCTCCTGTAGGCCAATCAGGTTGTGGATTCACTTCCTTCTGGAGCTGGATTGGGTGGCTCCTGCGGACCAACCATACTGCTTCATTGTTCTAGGATCAATCAGACTGCTGCATTCTGAATCCTATTGTTGTAGGACCAATCAGACTGCTGCATTTTGGATCCTATTGTTCTAGGACCAATCAGACTGCTGCATTTTGGATCCTATTCAACTCAGTACATAACACCCCTTCCCTCCAAGTTCCAGTCCTGACCGGGAGGTTGCGTATTTATAGTCCTCAAGGTACGCTGGCCACCTACGTGTGCGTTGCAGCCTGGGGTGTTCCCTGGTCCGGGGTTCGGGTTCTGGCTCAAATAGGATATTGAATAGGATATTGACTAGGATCCAAATTGCAGCAGTCTGATTGGTCCTACAACAATAGGATTCAGAATGCAGCAGTCTGATTGGTCCGCAGGAGCCATCTAATCCAACTCCAGGTGGAAGTGAATCCGCAACCTGATTGGCCTACAGGAGAATCCCGGAACTAGCCAATCACGTGGGTCCCATTGTGTAAATAATGTATATAAAGCAGACATTTCGGGGGAACTTCCATTCCTCACTATTATGAGATGAATAAAGAGCATGAAATCCACACTCGACTCCGAGTATATTTCAGTAACCATTTATTTCCGGCCCACCTGCTGGAAATGACATCAGGGTCAAACCAGCAGTGGGGATTCCTATGGCTTACATCAAATAGGGGGATCCCTGCGAGGATTGTTGCCTTTAAGTCACAACTGGACCTAATGGTCAGGGGTCCCTTTACCTTTACCTTATACCCAATAGCACTAGCCCAGCTAATATAAAAGAGTAGTAGTAAAGGTAAAGGTAAAGGGACCCCTAACCATTAGGTCCAGTCGTGGCCGACTCTGGGGTTGCGGCGCTCATCTCGCTTTATTGGCCGAGGGAGCCGGCGTACAGCTTCCGGGTCATGTGGCCAGCACGACTAAGCCGCTTTTGGCGAACCAGAGCAGCGCACGGAAATGCTGTTTACCTTCCCGCCGCAGCAGTACCTATTTATCTACTTGCACTTTGTGTTTTCGAACTGCTAGGTTGGCAGGAGCAGGGACCTAAGCAACGGGAGCTCACCCCATCGTGGGGATTCGAACCGCCGACCTTCTTATCGGCAAGTCCTAGGCTCTGTGGTTTAACCCACAGCACCACCCGCTTCCCAATATAAAAGAGTATTAGTAGATAAGAATAATTACTCTGTAGAGGTTGTTCCTCTGGATGTGAATAGCAAGAGCAGAACCAACATTCTGGCTTTTCTTAAGTGGAAAACCGCACAGTAAACACAGAAAACATGTGCAGAGTGGGTCTCCACCACTCTCACTGCATCTGCAGAGTGCTGTTGAAATGCGCACAATGTCAATGTGTTTTGGATTACTCGCCTGTCTCCCCAAACTGGCTGCCTGCATCTTTAATGCGGAATGGATGCCCATCTACGTCAAAATTGATGTTTCTCTCCAGGATGAACAAGGAATGAGATACCAATCCTCTGTGAGTGGGTTCATTCCTTAACCTTTACTCAGAAACATGCCCATCACTGTAAACATTTCAAGATGAGAAATAAGAGTGTTGCTAGCTAACCTTAGCAGAATGTTGAATTACTGGGATGCATTTAGATGGTTCCTCGGGGTTTCCCTGACTTTCCCATCCATTTTTGTTAGATATCATGATCTCGGGGTGTCTAAACCTGAACAACCAGCAAGGAACTGGCAGCATTTACAAAATGGTTATGATGTGTGCACATTCAGCCCAATCTGAAATAAGTTAACTCAGAATAGCAGCCGCTCTTTGCTGTTATAGCTGACTTTCTTTTAGGGTAAGAAAATAAAGCAGAGAGAAAGACAAGTTCCTTACCAAATCTTGACACCTTGATTGCAAATGGAAAATTAGCCATTTCCCACCCCCGGCATTTTAACATTTCGAAAGGTTTTTCTTGGCAAAGCTTGTCGCCAACACAACAGGAGATATGAAGGGGAAATATTAACTGACCTTGATAACCAAACACCTTGGGGTGGGGGGGATTGACTGACCATTCAAGTGTATAAAACTGTACTGTACAAGACAAGAGAAGAAAGCTAGTAAGACAGAAAAAGGCTGCAAAAGGAACTATTTGGAAAACATATATTTTCTAAAGTAAGGTATTGTTTATGGGTGAGCTTTGGTATGTAGCTATGTAGAGATTTGGTAATTTGGAGGGTGGGAGAAATCTGCCCCGTTAACATTCATAGATATCACCTTGGCAAAGATGATTTCCTGGAGAATTAATGGCTGAGTGGCACTAATGGCCCTGCGCAATGCCTCAGGCCACCAACTCCCAGCCAGCATTTAATCTGCAGGAAACGCATTGTGCTTTGACTGCAGCTCAGAATGAGCATTCAGCCTGTTATTCTGGAATCTCTCTCTCTCTCTCTCTCTCTCTCTCTCTCTCTCTCTCTCTCTCTCGATAAAAGGACCTAGAATTCAGAGTCACACCCCCAACACTCTCACCCATAATTTTGCAATCAGACTCAAAAGAGCAATGAAAATGCACATTCTATGATCCGAATGAATGATTTCAATTACAGACATGTGTATGCTTGTTTACATTGCTTTTTCCCCTTCAAATTACCAAATGGCAGGCAGTTTTATGGGTGAAATAGAGAATATGGAGGGGGGGGGATATAGAATATGAAAGTACTATATAAAAAGGAAAGTAATCTAGAGTAGATGTTACAGTCTACTGATCATTGGGAGCACCACTTAGAAGGCAGCCCCCCTGGTGTTGACTGGGGGAGATTAGGATGCTGTGCAGACCCCCTCTCTTGTCCGCCTCTGCTGGCAGAGAGATGTGCCACCGATGCAGGACCAACGTTTGGTGGCCCCAAGCTGCAGCCTGACAGTGTCAAAAAGTGTGCCAACAGTAAATCACACTGTTCAAAGTTGGAGTTAACTCTTTATTAGCAAAAACATGATCTTCACAGATTTGGCAGAGTGTCATGCCTAAAGAGCACAGCAGTTCATCCACAGCAGGTCTTACCCCATCAATCAGTTGCTGAGACTGAAAGTCTCTGCCTCCTCACAGGTGTCTAATTCCCCTCCTCTCCAGGGCTTTCCCCAAGCAATCAGAGACAGTTCCACCCATTTCAGCCCTCTTCTGGTTCAGGAAGACAAGAGGAGCTTGTTTGCTGTGACTCCTGGAAACTGTGAGTAAACGATTCACTTGTTTGCAAAGCCAGTGTGGTGTAGTGGTTAAGAGCGGCAGTCTGGTAATCTGGTGAACCGGGTTCGCGTCTCTGCTCCCCCACATGCAGCTGCTGGGTGACCTTGGGCTAGTCACACTTCTCTGAAGTCTCTCAGCCCCACTCACCTCACAGAGTGTTTGTTGTGGGGGAGGAAGGGAAAGGAGATTGTTAGCCGCTTCAGAGTACTCCTGAAGGATATGCATACATCCAAAGCTCATACCTCGTACCTCACAGTGCTGCTTCGTAAGTCTATGATTTATTCTATACTAAGTATTTTTGCAGGAAACATTCGTTTAAATTTAGATGAGGGCACATGTAAATCTAACCAATGTTTCTAGATGCTGACTTCAGAGCAGGTCACGGACAGTCTGTGCTCAACCTCTGTTAGGCTGGAGGGCAGGAATCTTTCTTCCAACCTCTGCATTTCCAACCAGGACAGCGGAGGGCCGCTATCAGGAACAATTCTCAACAAGCAGGCAGTTGCTGAATTATAACTGCCCGTGACAGCGGAGAACTACACAACTGTCGGAGAGACCTGAGCTCTGGAAGGTAGGCAGGGGACATAGACTTCATGTCGCCATTCAGTAGGTCATGACCTCTGAAAGCTGGCGAAGTCTTGGTCCCCATCTATCCAAAGCTGTCAGCTAGGCTCTGACTTCCGCAAGCAGCGGCAGCGCTGCCGCTAGTCATGCTGGCCACATGACCCGGAAGCCTGTCGCGCTGAGATCAGCGCGCCAGGCTCCGCGGCCTCTACGAGTGAGCATGCAGCGCGCAGCCGCTGCAGAGTCGCCGCATGACTGGACCTAGCGCGTCAGAGATCACGCGCTCAGCCTTTTGGATCTCTTTGAAAATCGCTTTGCCCTTCCGCTGCTGCGGAGAGCCAACTGCCATCATTACACAGCTGCGATCAGCGCGCCTAAGGCTGTAGCGGACTTCTCCTTCGAGCAGCAGCAGTGGTGCCGCTGCTCGACGGAGAGTTGCCTCGCAAGCCGGAAAACTGCGCTGAGCTGAGAGCAGCGTTTCCAGGCTTTGCGAGATGCCTCCGCAACAGCGGCAGCTGCTATGGCGCTGCTCGCAAGACGAGAATGTCTTGCCGAGTTCCTGCGCGGTTTATTTCCGCGCCCAGGCTTCGCTGACTCTCCGCGAGCAGCGGTAGCGCTGCCGCTGCTCGCGGATGAGCTGCATGCCAAGCCTGCGCGCTGAGATCAGCGCGCTCAGGCTCGCGAAGCCGCTCAGCAGCAGCTAGTAGCGCTAATGCCGCTGAGATCGCCATCAATGCCGGCTTGCCGCGCTAAGATCAGAACACCCAGGCTCAGACGAAGAGACTCCCAGAGCGGCTTCTTTTGCAGCCTATGCGAAGTCACCACTGTAGTCTCCGAAACGGAAACCCTGTGTCTAGCGGGTTTTCGTCTACGAAGCTCATACCTGGTGCACCACTGTACTTAGTTGGCCTTTAAGGTGCTACTGGAACATCTTTCAATAAATTTTAAAAAATATATTTCATCATTGTTATTTATTATGACAGACCAACATGGCTACCAAACTGAATCTGTACTTCTCAACAGGGAAATGGTGCAAGGAGGAAAAGGGTTAAGCACTCCTCCACACCCCTGTCTCATAATCTCAATCTGGATTAGGGTCCCTGTGGGATTGATTTGTGAAAGAGGCAGTAGTTGCAAGTCTGTGGTTTTCAAAGCATGTGTTTAATGTGCATATTAACTATGACTGAGAAAAATAAGGTGAATTTTGTCTTATTGCTGACAGCTGTTGTGGTTTTAGCACTCTAAATCGTCAATTTAACCACTAAGAACGACCATCAGTGCCACTTTTAAACAGTTGCCTCTGTGATTTCTAAGGGGAAACCTTGTCTGCACTTACCTATTAATGTATGATCTGCCTTAGATTTGGCCAACCCCTCTTTCTTAATTAAGTTTACATTGAAAATATGTTTTCTATTGTCAACTGACCTTTTAAATGCTAATGGCAAATGTAACCTCTGAAGTGTTATTGCAATCTTACGACTGCACTATTAATGCCATCTTTGTGTTGTCAGATTTACGTTGATACCGTGAGATAACTTTCTCTTGATTCATGAAAACCTAAGTTTCATTTATCAGAGTTTTATCTGATGCTTTGGTAATTGTGATACAAGTTACCATTATTCTTGCAAACAGCCAGTTTACAATTTATTCTCAATCAATAGAATAACTTGCATGCTTCTGGTATTCTGTGAAATTGGTTCACCTTCACAAATGGACATGAGAGAAAGGGGCTTGGCATCAGTGCCCCCTGGACAGGATGGTCTATTCTACCAAGTGAAAGCACTCAAGGGAGCAATCCTATGGCAAGTGGGGATTAGACTGGATCCTAAACTCATTCAGCTTGGTCATGTGACCTGGCAAACTGGCATAGAATATTTTTAAATGCTTCTTTCCCTTCTGCTAGGATAAAATATGTACTCTACTGGTGTCATCGTAGTGTTGTAAGCCAAAATGGCTTATCTTCTGAGTTTATGCCAATAAAACTCAGAGACAAGAGGAGTTAGGAGTCCATTGTTGTTTATTGCAAAGCAATAGGTTACAGTCAAATCTTTTCGCCAAACTGCAACCTGCCCACGGGTCAGGGCGGTGGTATTTATAACATTTCAAACAAAGGATTTGAATTTTCACCAATCATGTACATCATTACCTCATTTCATGTTTAATACACATGCGCAATAAGCGTTGCAAACTAAACTTTGATTCTCACCGTGATCTATTACATTGTGTTAGTGTGCATGTTGGGAACCTATGTTACGTGTAGCCCTTTGCACCATGTATCAACTTACGTTCTAGCTTATGAGCTGTATCTTCTTGATTTACGTCTTAGCTGTCCTTCTGTCCCAGTGGGGGATGGCATCTTGCAAAATCATCAGTTTCTTAAAGCAACAGGTTACCATAACGTCTCTATTAGGGGCATATTGAAGGATTTATAGGGGTTCACATTATCACATTCATTGTGGCTCTTTGGGCCACTACCACATTAGGAAGAGTTGAGACATCAGTGTAGCTATTTATTTATTTTTAACCAATAAGTGTACACAGTAGGGATGGAGAATGTATAGTCTGCCCAGTTCGGCCCTCTAGTGACACAATCTGGGGTGGCACCACAGCCACCAATGAATCTTTGCACTTGACATGGGAGCCTGGCATTAGCGACACTAAACACTGGGCACTGTGGAAAACACAACATTGGTCCTGTCCTAGGGACATTGGCATCACCAGGCAAGCCCATCTGGAAGGAGGGTCCGAATCTTTCATAGATTTCCCACAATATTCAATGTCCTGCAAAGCCAGGAGTTTCAAGTGGGATTAGTGGCAGTGCCAGGGAGGTGATGGTGGCGACCCAACCCAGACCTAGTCAGGGGACAGGCGGAACCAGTGGGGCTCTTTCCTAGCAGTATGTTGAGCCTGCTCAAGCCTTTTGCTGGTCATGGCAATCTCAAAAGTCGCACAACTCTCCCCCCAACACACACACACACACACCAAAATCTGGAAGTGGGAAGATTTAAATTTTTGTCTATGGGAACAGAATCACCTAGAGCTTGAGCCAACCCGTGTTGTTCTGGAGTTCTGCAACATCTTTAAGAAATGGAACTTGGTTCTGAGGGAATGCAGTGCACCTGTCTCTGAGGAAGAATAATCCTTAAATTGAGCTGGTTCATAGAATCATAGAATTTTAGAGTTGGGAGGGACCCAAGGATCATCTAGTCCAACCCCCTGCGATGCAGGAATTGAAGCTAAAGCATCCATGACAGATGGTCACCCATCCTCTGCTTACAAACCTCCAAGGAAGGAGAGTCCACCATCTCTTGTGGGAGTCTCTTCCACTGTCAAACAGCTCTTACTGTCAGAAAGTTTTTCCATATGTTTAGTTGGAATCTCCTTTCTTGTAACATGAAGCCATTGGTTCCAATCCTACCCTCCCCAGGAGGAGAAAACAAGCATGTTCCTTCTGAAAGAAAGAGGGGGGGGACTCACTTTGTACAATTCACAAACAAAGAACAGAGCAAAGCTCTCATTCACAATGCAGTTAAACGAGGCTGTGGAAGCCTAGGTTATTTCCTACAATTTTTAATGTGAATAAGTTTCACTATCATTTTCTGTAATGCAACATCTTTTTCCCCTATTACATTTTTATGTGACATTTGTGGGAGCTACATGGCTTAATAAGATAAATGGCTTATTTTCTAAGTGCTTGAACTCAAACAAGAGCACACTCAAAAATATCTCAAAGAAGAAAGCTCTCCATTTCCCTGGAGATTATTATTGTATGATTATGGCAGATACATTCCAATGAATCTTACAATTGATGTTGATCTTATTGCATGCTGGGTGTAATCAAGATAGCAATTTCTGTCCTTGGCTTAGAGAGCTTTGGCCACAGAAACAGAAATCAGGAAGTAGGTGACCACTTGTCTTGAATGGTACAGGAAAAACATTGTTAAAGCAGCAGAGTACCATCCCAAGACATTTTGGTGCTTGAGGCAGAACAGTAAATGACTCCCCTTTCCAATATAAAGTGCATAGGACCCAAGGCTTAGGGTTGCCATATTTCAAAAAGTAAAAACCAGGAAGATGCCCAAAGCATTGAGCTTTTTTTTTTTTTTAAGGAAACCACCAAAACCGGTCAAGTTATTTTGACACAGAAATTTCCACAATTGCCTTTCTCTGGGAATAAATAGTCAATATTCCCCTTTCATGATGCCCCAAACCAGGGCTCTTTTTTCAGCCAGAACTTGCCAGAACTCAGTTCTAGCACCTATATTTTCTATTTATAGAAAAATAAAAAGGTAAAAAAGGAAAAGGACCCCTGACAGTTAAGTCCAGTCACGAATGACTCGGGGGTTGCGGTGCTCATCTCGCTTTATTGGCTGAGGAAGCCAGCGTACAGCTTCTGGGTCGTGTGGTCAGCATGACTAAGCCGCTTCTGGCGAAACCAGAGCAGCAGACAGAAACGCCGTTTACCTTCCTGCCGGAGCGGTACCTATTTATCTACTTGCACTTTGATGTGCTTTCGACCTGCTAGGTTGGCAGGAGCTGGGACCGAGCAATGGGAGCTCACCCCGTCACGGGGATTCGAACCGGCAACTTTCCGATCAGCAAGCCCAAGGCTCAGTGGTTTACACCACAATGCCACCCATGTCCCATTATAGAAAAATAGTCCTGCCCAAACCCAACAGCCTGAGGTGGCTGTCCACGCTGCCTCATATACAACTCACCTGTTGTATCAGAGTCAGATTAACCAGCTGGTAGGTTTCCAGATGTTCCTTTTCTCCCCTTCAACTTTTCCCTTTTATGAAAATGGCCGTTCCCCAGCCCTGTTGATGTGATGTTGCAAATGTGATGGTGTCATAATGCCACACCGACATCAGCATGCATGCAGATCTGTCTGGTGCCCAAACACAATTCAGAAGAAGGGCAACACTTCCTGGGAGAACACTCTTGAAATAATTAGTAAATAAATAACCAGCGAGCATAGGGTGACCTCTTTGAAAGTCAAAAACGAGAACATGAAACACAGCGAATTGTTTCACAGTTGAAATAGTGATGTTTGGTGTTTTTTTAATAGGTACTGTATATATAATGTGTAAAGGCAGGGTTTAATTTTTTTTATAAAATGCAGATGTGGGAATCCACATTCTTAGCTTGTTTTGGAGATATTAGCTCGTATTAATGTATTATACTTGATAGTCCATACACACCCACGGTCTCCCGTTTATGATGCAGTAAAATTTTACAAACCTCTGTGACAGCAGCATTTGGCACAGATGAATTTGACAAAGCGATGATGAGGTCAATAAGATGACAGAATAGAGGATACATAAAGATTCACTCTCCAGGTGGATAATTTCCTGGCAGCGCATATCTGGGGAGTAAGCAGGGACATATAACTTTACAAGTGGGCTTTGGACCTCAGGAAATGCCTCTCTCATTATACATTCCCCATTTATTACTGGGGGAAAATCCTGTAGTAATTTTGGATGTCTTTTATGTATACACAGCCACTCTCTTTAAAACATTGGCTTGAATTTCAAAAAGAGAAACAGGTGACTGGAATTTTATGGTCAGCTATTGGAGGCCATTTGGTTTCACATGACAATTGTTTGACCTGGGGGGAACGCTCTTTGGGGTTTGTTTCACAAAAGATAAAATAGAGCTCCAGCCTAGTTATGCTTCACTCTTTGTGAATAACTTTAAAACACCTATCCTCTGGTATCCCTGGAAGATGGCATTACATTATCTTGTCGCAATCCTTTTCAGGGTCCATTAATTTCCAGGTGCAAGCTGGAATAATGTAGAATAATATCATCATTCCATTCCATTTATACCATACGTGGAAGAGCAAAGCTGATGCACGTAGAAATTTGTACCTGCCACTGACAGAAATGAAGGCTGAGCCGACACCACAAACTCCCTCAGGCGCAGCATTGCGGCTGTTAGCCAGCCTCCCCCCTCCCCATTATTTAGCAGCTATCTCTTTGCAATGTTGTTTGCATGTTCCCTGTTGGGAAACAATGAAGTCAGCCACCCACCGCAGCACAAAAAGAATCCCTAGATTAAGATGGGCTAATAAAACACTCTAATTAGTGCCACAATGTGAATTATGTCTTCGGGAAAATGGAGGCTGACGTGGATGGAAAAATAATTAAGGAAAACGGTGGATACCCGCACCTACAATTATGATAGAAGAGAAGGAAGACCTCAGCAAGATCTCCGAGAAACAGAATTAGGAAGCAACTGCTGCAGTGAAAATATGCAGGGGAGAAGAACGTGTGGTTCTAAGCTTGATATTTTTGCAGCACTTTAAACCCATTGATTATATTGATACTCTGGGATCTACGTTTAATGGAAAGCTTGATCTTAGGTTAACACTCTGGCTGGCAGTTGCATACCACATCACAAGGGTGTGATGTTGTTTTGCTACCTCTTCTTTGATCCTGGTAGATTACAGAAGCAGAGAAACATGGCTGAGCTATTCCCACAGAGGGAGGGAGGGAACTGAAAAAATACAGTGGCTCTTTGCAGAGCTTGTGTCTGAGGTACCAGCTTTTCAGAAGCTGCTGCATTACCAGCCTTGTGTGGCAGCTCATGATGAATATGTGCAGCACAATCCTAGGCATGTTTAGCTTGGACAGGAGCCCCATTGTGTTCAGCGGGGCTTATTGCCTAGGAAGTGTGCGTAGGATTACAACATTGACTTGCAGGGTTTACGTGCTGCTTTTCAACTTGCATTCCCAAAGCAGGGTGAACCAATTTTGTGAACCCATCGAAAAGCAAAAACTGAAGCAAGAGCACAGGAGCAGGGCTGTGCTGCTGTTCCTGACCCACAATTGCATGCCTCCCTCTCTACCTGGAGGTATTAGTTTCATGAGTTGTGGTTGTCTGCAGGGAGAAAGCCTCTGCGTGTAGATAGCTGAGAGGTTAGGAAACCATCCCTGCTGCCTTGAGCTTATTGGGGGAAAAGCAGGATATAAAAGAATAAAAGCATGAATAAATAAACAACATAGCTGCGCAGAAACCTTCCAAGTCAGAATGAATGCAAATGGCAAGCTGATACTTCTGGTCATATTTTCAGCCAAGATTTGCTCAAGCCTTTTGAAACAATTTAAATCTATTATAATACAATATAGGAAGTTAAGGGATACATGGGAGATGAGTAGCTCAGTATTTTCTTGGGAGGGGAAGAACTTTCTTAGACATGGACCATAATAGCAGCTCACCAGTTCACCTTGGTAAAGGTAAAGGGACCCCTGACCATTAGGTCCAGTCATGGCCGACTCTGGGGTTGTGGCGCTCCTCTCACTTTATTGGCTGACGGAGCCAGCGTACAGCTTCCAGGTCATGTGGCCAGCATGACTAAGCCGCTTCTGGCGAACCAAAGCAGTGCACGGAAATGCCGTTTACCTTCCCGCCGGAGTGGTACCTATTTATCTACTTGCCCTTTGATGTGCTTTTGAACTGCTAGGTTGGCAGGAGCAGGGACCGAGCAACGGGAGCTCACCCCATTGTGGGGATTCGAATTGCCGACCTTCTGATCTGCAAGTCCTAGGCTCTGTGGTTTAACCCACAGCGCCACCCGCGTCCCAGTTCACCTTGAGTCACTAGCAATAATTGTATTGGGAACAAGTGCATGTATTTGCAATGCTGGATATTCTCTCTGCATCAGCCACTCAGTGCTAGCTATCATTATGCTGTGAATATTCATTGCATCTGGAGTCAATCTGGATCTGCGGTTTGGAAGGTTCTTCTCTTTGGAAATAAAACCATGCAGTTCAGTTTGCCCAACATTACGCATTGAGTTAAATGCGTCTGATTTTCACAACTGTAGAAGTTTTACTTTGTCGCCACAGTGCTTTGGCATTTCAGTAGTCTAGCATGTGCTCCCGACTCCCAGTTGTTTAAGAGTATTAGCCACAAAGTGACTTTTCAACTTAAATTAGGCTGTTGAAACATAGAAAGCTGACCAGGGATGTGAAAGGAGTGGAAGCCTGACTACCCCTGTTGTGACTCTCTGATTTTAAATGTTTATTGACCCTAACTATCCCTTTCTGCATGTATGCATCCCAAAATGTATAAAACTAACATTCTTCATTCTTCTTAATTTGTGATTTGGCTGGCTCTTGGAAATCTTGTTTTAATGAAGGGAAGGTCGTGCATCTGAAGTGGTAAATGCCCTAATGTTATAAACAATGCATCCTAAGCAATGAAGGGGAAACTAGTGATTTCCAGAACAAGAGAACTACCGGTATCTTTGGGAAGCCAGCTCCACCTCAGCTGAGTTGCTCTGGAAATAGGCCAGAGCAAACTGCTTTGCCTCCATTTTGAGGGAAACCCCCCGAGGACTGTCCTATAATTAGCTCTGTACGTGGAAGGGGCAGCCGCAGCTCCTGCAAAGCCTGGCACTGAGCCTGAGGGGATCAGTCAAAAATGTTCAGTCAAAAGCAGTGCTTGGATGAGAATTTCAGAAAGCAGCAGAGCTCTTTCCTCCAGTGACCAGGCGTCACAGTGGTGGCCTGTTACCCAAACCAGAACAAGTTGCAGAGACGTTCATAAGATCAAGTGGGCTGTCGTAAGGAGGGGCGTGCGCAGGAGGAGAGAGTATAGCCCCACTTTGGTCATGATATGGAATGCCTGTGGTAGGATTGCCAGATTGCAACAGGGGAACCTATGTTTTAACTTTTGATACTGATAATGTAGTGCAGTTCTCTTCCCACTAAGCTGCTCCTATAATATTCTGTTCAGTCCAGTGTTTGCCTGTCTTTGCATCCTCTATGGCAGAGTCACTTCACAGAGAACAAGGTAAAGGTAAAAGCCCCCTGGACGGTTAAGTCCAGTCAAAGGCGACTATGAGGTTGTGGTGCTTATCTCGCTTTCAGGCTGAGGGAGCCACCGTTTGTCCACAGATAGCTTTCCGGGTAATGGCCAGCATCATTAAACCGCTTCTGGCGCAATAGGACACCATTATGGAAACCAGAGCACATGGAAACACCATTTACCTTCCCGCCGCAGGGGTACCTATTTATCTTCTCGCACTGGCATGCTTTTGAACTGCTAGGTTGGCAGAAGCTGGGACAGAGCTCACCCCTTCGTGGGGATTCGAACCACTGACCTTCTGATCGGCAAGCCCAAGAGGCTCAGTGGTTTAGACCACAGCGCCACCCGCGTCGCTACAGAGAACAACATATCACAGTATACAGTGGTATCTTGGTTCTTCAAACGCCTTGGTTCCCAAATGCGAAAACCTGGAAGTGTTCTGGTTTTTGAATGTTTTTTGGAAGCCAAACGTCCATTGCGGCTGTCGGCTATTGTTTCCGGGGTGCCTGCACCAATCAGAAGCTGCACCTTGGTTTTCAAACATTTCGAAAGTCAAACGGACTTCTGGAACGGATTAGGTTTGGCGCTTTTGTTTTTGCTATTTATTTTGCATTTTTGAGGCTTTTTTGGTTAATTTGTTTTTGTGATTGTGTGGAACCCAGTTCAGCTACTGATTGATTGTGTGACTGCGGAAATGGATAAAAGCCACCCATCCAAACAATGACTATCATCAGTGCTGGTAGGAAAGAAAAATAATTTTAATATCATCTGTAGTACTGTCTTATTTATTTTATAGTACAGTACATTGATTATTTCTTTCATTTTATGGGTCAATGGTCTTGTTAGATAGTAAATTTCATGTTAAATTTCTGTTTTAGGGGTTGTTTGTAAAAGTCTGGAATGGATTAATCCGTTTTGCATTACTTTCTATGGGAAAGCGCACCTTAGTTTTGGAACGGACTTCCGGAATGGATTAAGTTTGAGAACCAAGGTACTACTGTATTATAATTATAGTTATAATTATTTTTATTTTTATACTGCCCTTCATCTGAGGCTCATAGGGTGCTTTGCAGTGTAAAACACAAAAATACATAACCTAATAACAAACAAAACAGTACCCCAACACACACACAATTTAAAAAGCCATAGATTGTTTAATTAGCCGAAGACCTTGATGAATAGGGACGTTTTTACCTGGTGTTTAAAGACATGTAACGAAATCGCCAGGAAGCCTCCCTGGGGAGAGCATTCCACAAGTGGGGAGCCACCACAGAGAAGGCCCATTTTCATGTTGTCGCCATATGGACCTCTCATGAGGGGGGCACATGAAGAAGGGCCTCAAACGCAGAGATGGCTAGATGGACTGGGAAAATCAGAAATCGGGAGGATCAAAACTTCAATAGAGAATGGGACAAATGTAGATTGTATTTGCGTGACCAGGCGGCGACAGCCCCAGCCCCCAAGGATCATAAGGAAGCAATAAAGACTCTGACGTTATATGGAATTAAAATTAGGCCACAACTTTATTAAACTTCCGAATGTAGGAAGACCTTGGCTTAGGCCTTGGGTTTGTATCACTCCCACCCCCCCAGCCAGGGGGAACTGGGGCTCATCAGGATAAATGGGATATGGGGGTGCTCTGCGAGACTTAAGTGTAGCAGGCAGCCAAGCCCATATCCCCGCACGCAGGGTAGTTCGCTGATGACCTTTCAGTGTATGGCCAGTGACACCCATATATATAACGCCTTTAAGAGGGGGACCCTGGAATCGCCACCACAGGGGGGTGAGTCACCACCCCCACCCCCAATATAGGGAAGAAAAGACTAAAGGATTCCACCCAAGGCCATAACCGCCAAAGTTGTGACGAATTGCTGTAGGGAAGACAAAACCTGCCAGTGCAGGAAAATTTCTTCCCCGGTCCTTCAACAGCAACCAGTCAAAGACCGATGCAGTGCCTGCTAAACAGGAATAAAAAGTTAACCTGCAAACAAGAAACATTAAACTAAGGGAGGGTAGGGAGGGTGAATCTCCAGAGCAGACTGCCTGGCTATTGTCGGCTCCACCCCACATTTAAAAATGGGGCTGGCCCCACCTCCCAGCAAGAAAATTGATTACTGAGGCTGGGCATGATCCTCCAAAAATTAACACTGAGAGGCAAGCCAGCCCCTGTTTGCCAGTAAGCTCCCTGGGAACTGTAGCACCACACGCGATCCCGCAAAGGGCACCCACAATGTAAAGTGGGAGTGCTCATTAAAAGCACACTGTAAACACTTGAACTCTTTGGCAGGCTTCGAATAACTCTTGCAATATTATAAAGACTTTGGATATTTTGGAGGACTATAATTCAGATGAACTATAATATGCAGATGATTAAGATATTTAAAGGACCCACAAAGTGGTGGAGGGAAGTCCTAAGATTCAGAAAAATCTTGTTTTATTTCAAAATTTAATTGTGTGATTTATTTTGTAAAACCAATATAAATATTTCCAAAAAAAAGAAGAAAAAAAATCTCACCAAAGATCACCCTCACCATGAATTTACAGAGTGGTCTTAACCTAAGCTAGAAATTATTTCAGTATCAGACGTCTCCAAACCTCTGCCAGACTGTAAAATGAAGATAACCAGTCCTTTTTTTCTGGGGGGATGCAGGCGCAGGGGTACACGTACCCCTCAACATTTTGTGAATCTTTGTACTTTTGTCCATTTACTGTATTTATTTTCCCCCAATTTGAACTATAAAATGGTGATTTTCTTGAGTCAAAATGAGAGTACCCCTAAACATTTTTATTTTTTTTTTTAGAAAAGCATTGGAGATAATACTTGTCTGTTCCCACAGAGTTCTTATAAAGCTTTTCATTTTTAGAAAAGGGATGCTGGACTAGATGGATCCTTAGTCTGATCCACCAGCGCTACTGTAATTCAAAGCGGTGTTCAAACCCAATGGAAACAACTAAATATTTGTGTTGTTGTTTTTTCTGTCTATTTATCTTGCTCGCTCATTCCTTCGGAAAGGGCAGCTTGGAGTGTTTATTTCCACATTTTGTTCCCAATCTTTGCATAAGCTTACATCTAACAAAAAAGTGTCCTTTAAAAGTGCCAGAACCATACTGGTCTTCGAAAGCATACTGTCTCCAAGCAGTTGCTATGAAATAGTGGGTGGACATAGCAGACGACACAGAGATTTCTCTAAGTAGTTCTTTATAAGTAAGCTGGAACTGAACTGAACAGCAAACAGCTCAGCCGGTCTGCTTTTATAGGCAGCTGGCTGTCAACATCGTGACAACAACAACCCTAAATTTCAAACCCTAAGGAACCCTAAATTAACTGACGTGGACCTGAGTGAAAACTATATACACGATACCCCTGGTGGCCAGGGTGAGAACTTCAATACATAACAGTTGCCAAATGTTCCAAATGACCAGTACCCTGGAGTTATGATTTGTGGTGTTCTGATCATTGCTGGATTCTAACTGCCTCAGAACTCCAAGGAGCAGTTGCTACGGGGACCAGATCAAACCAGCTTCAGTCTTCTCAGGTCTTCTCAGGTCTTCTCTGAGGTCAGAGAAAGCCTTGGAAAAAGCCCTTGCGTACCAGAGACTGGCTGAAGAACCAATTTCACCATGCCTTCAGTTGCCAGCCTTCCCAGTACCAAAGCTAAAGTTCCACTCCAGGCACATTATGGCTCCTTTCCGGTTCGGCTGTTGTGCAGGGTATCCTGTTTTCAACTTGGTGCCTTTGTCCTGGCTCTTATCGGCTGCATTATGAGCATCTGGGGCACAGCCAATATCGAATGGAGAGTGTGGCAGGTTGAGAACATCATGGGCAGCAACAAACCTGGCATTGTGGGGATTGGGATCTGGGGCGCCTGTTCTGTGAGTAGAATTACAGCGAAGAAAATAAACATTATATGCACAGCGTTAAAAGATGAGGAGTCCCTACCCGCTGAAATAACCGCTGCCCAGGACTTGATGCCATTAGCCATCGTTGCAAATGCGGTGGCCGTTTTTTGTATGGCCTTTGCGCTCTATAACATCTTCAAGCCTGGAAAACACGACAATTTCATCTTTACCTTCTTTTCCATTGGAGCAATTATGGACTTGGCAGCGGGAACATTTGTACTGATTTCCATTTCGTGGAATCTGTATTCTATCCTCGCAAACGAAGGAATGAAACTTCCCAAAGTTTAGGGAGTGCCTCTCATTCCAAAAGACCAACGTGCTGGGTTTTCTATCTATATGGGGTTCCTTGCTGCAGCTTCACAGCTCTTAAGTGGAACACTGGTCATTGGAGAAAAATATTTCTGGAAAATCAGACAAAAAGACACTTCCGGGGGGAAATTTGTAACCGATCCGGAAAATGTTAAAGAAAATGAAAGCCCAGAGCTGAGGGTGAAGTGCAGGCGGTATTACTCTACAGTGAAACTTGAGTGTGAAGATCAACCCACAATTCAGCGGAGATATCAAAGGCATATGCAAACAGAAACCCATAAGGAATGTGGCTAAGGAATGGTTCCAGTCCTGGAACTGGCTTTTTAAAAATGGTAGCATTCTGTATATTTATTATCAAATGTGTTGGTTATATCTTTTCTTATGCATTTTCTGTTTCATTTTCTGTTTTTAACTGAATGCTTCTGTATCCCACCCTAGGATGGTTACAACATACAGCAGGCATAGGCAAACTCGGCCCTCCAGATGTTTTGGGACTACAACTCCCACCATCCCTGACCACTGGTCCTGTTAGCTAGGGGTGATGGGAGTTGTAGTCCCAAAACATCTGGCGGGCTGAATTTGCCTATGCCTGACATATAGGGTGAACCATAGATAGGGAAAATAAATGAAAAGTATCAAACTGTTCTATCTAGGTATTGATTTTATGCTATATCTCTTTTAGCAGGAAAAAGAATACTATCTCATTGCAAAAAAAGGGGGGGCCTCAGATGATGATCGCAGAGTCCGGGTTGGTTCGTATGGGGAGAGGCAGTGTTTGAGGTATTGCGGTATTGAGCACGTTCACAAAATATGTATAGTTCAGTTTTATTAGCTGGCATGCATTGTACTTTTCTGCTGCTACATGCTACAGGACTATTTATATTCCATAAGCTTACTATAGTCTGAGGTGTAACAGAGTTTGAAACAGACTCACAACAACAGAGGTACATTAGGAGCAAACTCTACCTGCCTGCCTAATGATTATTTGGCCTTTTGCCACGCTACCTATGGATGTGATGTCTTCAGATCTTGGACGCTGAACAAGCATTTATGGAAGATCACATTTTGCTGGCCGCTCGTCTTGGGATTAGTCACCATTTGGATGGGACGACTCCAAGGAAAGCGGAGGTGCTGGAGGATATGGTATTGGTGAGTCATTAAATGCCAATTTGCTCTTGCTTGAGTCATGGCTGGGCCTCTGCGGTGACATCTTTTAGAAAGATGCTCTGCTCTCGAGAGTGTTTTTGTTTTCCCCACATTTCGGCTGATTCATAGCACTGCAGTCCTTGCCAAGGTCCACCTAATCGCTCTTTGCAGCCGTACTTCATTAAAGAGCATCGGGGTCAAAATGCTGAACCGTACATATTTGCTACACATCACTTCGCAGCTAAATTCGTAGCAGGCTCAATTAATGCATGTGCTCCAATATGCTGTCAGTAATTCTTCAGATGGCAGAGAAACCAGAACAGGGCTTCTGAGGATCTTAAAGGATGTGCAGATTTATATGAGTGAGCTGGTCCCTGGCCATATAAGGCTTTTAGTGCCTGAAACATCACTTTGAATTGAACTGGGGAACAAACTGGTAACTGGCCAGTGTAGGGAATGATACCCTGGTGTTATATGTTCCAGTCTGCCTGCTTCAGTTAGCACCCTGGCGGCTGTGTTCTGAACCAACTGTGGTTTTCAAACAGTCTTCAAACTTCAAAATTCAATATTTCAGTGTTCTTATTTGGCAGTTGCCATATCTGGCTCCTTGAGGGAAGGGTATAGTTGGCACACCAGCTGAAAGGACTCCTGGTCATTCTAAATATAGGAGTCATCCCCTAAATAAAATGGATTTTTTGGGGGGTGAAGTGTTGTAGCAGTTTCTTAAAGAGATAAGCTATCATTTTTGAGGCCCTTACTTAGCCGTTTCTTAAAGCGATAGGCCAGGTACCCCCAAACTCGGCCCTCCAGATGTTTTGGGACTACAATTCCCACCATCCCTGACCCCTGTCCTGTTAGCTAGGGATGATGGGAGTTGTAGTCCCAGAACATCAGGAGGGCCGAGTTGGGGGATGCCTGCGATAGGCTATGATTTTTGAGGCACTTGGGGTCCCCACACAATGTAATCCCATTCAAAAAAGGTCACATATTTGAAGATTTCCTAAACATCAGTCACCAGCACCTTTTCCCTTTCTCGATTAAGCTTTCGTTTGTTCACCCTTGTCCTCATCCAATCCTATACTGACATCAGTATTTCAGGAATGAGAAACACAAAAGACATCTGGGTGTCAATCACATATGGATGACATCCGCCAGCCCATAGACCGATATCTGGGCAAATCTTCTGAGATGGCAAGCAACCAATCCTTTCTTTCCTCTGTCTCTGTCCTCTTTGCCGCGCAGGCTGCAAATGCCTATTTTTAGACGATATCTAAACATTTCACATGTAATAGTTATTGCAAAGCAGCTGTGAGTACATTTTCATGAAAACACCTGAAGGCCAAGCCAGACACTGTTTTCCTCTCCCCAAGGGAGGATTTTAAATCTTATTCGGTTAATTTAAAACAACACTTGAACAGTAAAAAATGGTTTGCTCAGCCTTGCACAGTAAAAGGCACTGATTTACGACCACAGCGACTTTAATGATAGCTTTAGTATATTAAATTATTTATTGCTGGGGATTCAAACAAATGAAAACTAAATACAAAACCAATAATAGACCCCCCCCCTTTCCTTCCCCGCTCTCTTTTAAAAGTGGTTTCATTCCTTCTTCCTTCAGTGTTCTTCACCAAAGTGAATCTATGACACCACATTGGCTCTTACTGATGCTGTACAGTGTTGTGCTAATTTCTTCTAGACAGAAATTCCTTTCATGATGCTTTCACATGTCCTGCATCAGTTGTGTGGCTAACTTTTCTGGCAAGTGTGCCATATGGCAAGTTCCACGCTGTGTTAAATTATAATAAATAAATAATATTTTTTTATTTATACCCCGCCCTTCCTGGTTCAGAAAATCGGGCTCAGGGCGGCTAACAAAAATTTAAAACACTTAATTGATGCAACGAAAAGCAGCATAAAATACAGTATAAAATAAATTCAGAATTCAAAAATCAATTTAGGGGGGAAATCCATCCAATAAACATTAGATGATCACCAGGGCTAGCTGGCTAAATTAGTCCTATTTGGGCCAGCGAAGAGACCAGGGGAGAATTAGCTGTGGGATCCCAGAGCGGTTAATCTTCATAAAAAGGGGAGGGGGAGGGAAGGAAGGGGAATGAAAGATCAGGCTAAGTTTAAATTGAAAGCCAGGTGGAATAGCTCTGTCTTACAGGCCCTGCAGAAAGAAGTTAAATCCTGCAGGGCCCTGGTCTCATGGAACAGAGCATTCCACCAGGTCAGAGCCATTACTGAAAAGGCCCTGAAAAGGAAGATAGTCTGACTTCCTTAGGGCCCGGGACCTCTAAACTATGATTATTCATGGACCTTAAGGTCCTCTGCGGGGCATACCGGTAGCTCCTTTTGCCAGGTTTTTCCTGTAATACACTGAATGCGGGAAATAACAAACCAGAGTATAGGTGGTATTCTATGCCACAGCCTAATCCAGTCCTCAGGACTCATAGCTACTTTCTTGGTGCACTACAGTTTTATGTTGTTCATGCCATTTTTTGAAACCATGAGGCAGGCTGCCCATATCCTATGTTTACAACTCAGAGTGACACAGTTTCAGATTGCAGTCTGATATTTGGAACAGGGCAACTTGGGGGCAGAGCCACACCAAACATTTGAAACACAGTCAAAACACATGACTTACCTCAAGGAATCATGGGAACTGTAATTTTCCCCTCAGAGAACTACAGTTTCCAGCACCGTTGACAAACCACAGTTGTCACCATTCCCTGTGAGAATTCATTTTCTTTAAAAGTGTATGATGTGGATTTGCCCTTTGCCATCAATACACAAAAGGAGCTTATATCCTCTGCTTCAGTTCTCCCACACCCTGTGCTCTTGTTTTGTACAGAAATCAGTCATTTGGACCTACATATGAATGTCCCTTGTCCCAAACCTTGCTTCTTAACCGTTATTTCACTTCTGAATGTGTTTTGTCTATTGGGTATTCGGTGTGGGCACTACAGAAGCTCAGTCAAGCAGTTAAACTCACCACAGTAAACAGCTATTTAGCACAGTTATCTTTACCAACACACACTCTTTATACACACATTATTTATAGGTGTTACAAGAAATCTTCACTCTCTGAGCCCAGAGAGGGTTGATTGCTACAAAATCCTTGCTGTGCCAAAATCCACAAGTCAAGTTCTGAGCTCAGTTGCTTGTAAAGCTCAGCAACCCTTCACAAAGTCTTCAGTCTTCCACAGTTCCAATTCCTCCACAGTTCCAATTCCTCCACAGTTCCAATTCTCCACACCACTCCAAACTCTCTGCACTATCCCACACTAAATGCTGTAACCTGAGATCCTTATCTACCCAGCATTACATGCCATTTCTGCCCAGAAACACTGGTGCTTGCAGCTGCATTAAAATTGAGTCATCTCTGTTGACTCATGGAGAATTAACAATTTTTTTCACTTTCCTTAACTTTGCTTTGTAGGGATCAAACTAGATTGTTACCACTGGTCTGTACTGCAGCCATCTGTGGATGGCTGCCGTGTGCTTCCACAAGCTCAGACTAATCAATAGTATAAGTTCTTTGCATGAAGAACAGTCCTATGCAGTGATATCCCTGCTTTTCACAAGAATACAATATACTCCAAGTTTGGACTGCACGTCTGAAACTATATTTTGTATTTTGCACCCAAGTGCAATCTGCCTGTGCTCTCTTTGTTGCTGCATGGAACAATGCACAAATCAGAACTTTGGATTTAGTAAGTAAAGCTTTTAAACTTAATTAACAGTGCGTACGCTGTTCATTGGTAGACGGATAGAAAGAGGGAGGCAAGGATTTTAAGACAGACTAAACAGGATATGCAAAAAGGTTTAACAACCTATATCCCATGCTATACTGCTGGTTAACTCTGAGACTGTTTTAAACTCTGTTGGGGACTCTCTACTACTGGAGAGTGTGCAGAGCCCCACATTTTGAACTGAGACACCCAGCCAATTATTTTGTTAATTACCTGCACGTGGGCCATATATACTTTCTACCTCCACATATGAACCCACCCTGAACTGATATTTCCAGTTTTGCAAAGCTACTTCCCTTCTCCTTCTCCCCGCAACTCCCCTGGCCTTGAGCACTGGAAATAAATTAAAGATTTGCTCATGGAAGGGTATACAAAATGGCCAGAAAATTATTTCGTGTTGATTTTTGTATGAAATTGAATTATTGTTGAGTTAAGAGGGATTCAGGTAAAGTCAGCTATGTTTTCCATACAGCTGGTTGTTCCTGTAGTCTCTCCTCTGTATTTTCTGGATGCCGGTTTTAAGATTACATTTAGTGACTAGACACCATAGCCTGAATTCTCAGTAAGGAGAAATTGGACACCGCACAGGTACCCACTGATAGGCTAGGTTGAGCGGTGAGAAAAGAAATGGAGCTATCCAATTTGAATAATCCAATTTAAATCCCAGGGTGCTGCACAAATCATTACACATTATTTAGAAAGCAAAACAAACTGATGGAGAGATGATGGCTAACAAAGCAGAAATTAATCCAAAATAATATATGTGAGTGCTGGGGAAATGTCAGTCAAATGGAAGCCCAAGACAATTTTGATTAAAACCAGGAGAAAGAAATGAGTTAACTGTGCTCCGAGTTGATAATAAGCAACATTAGAAGGCATATTGTAGTCGGTGACAGTTATACATGAGAAGAATGACACTGATACAGAAATAATTGGAGAAATTAGTTGCCTGACATCCATGAGAAAGCATTGCTTCCAATAATGTTAAATATGCAATCAATCAACTGGAGCATGGACATTATCGTGGGAAGGATGAAAAAGAACACTGTAAGTGATAAGTTCTTACTAATGACCTATAGAAACTATAGGCTATTGAAGCCATTTGTATTCTATGGCTTAATGTGGACAAGAAAAATACCAGCAAGAGCTCCCCCTAGCAAACAATTACAACAACAATGTCCAATAAAATCTAGTATCCCCAAAGGAATGGCATTGTGGTGACGCACAGATATATTACAAATACTGATTCAGGGGCAGTAAACCATAGGTGCTTGGAAAGAAACAATACACAGTACATTGCACGGGAACCTCTTCTAGGGAGTTAACTCACATTATTATAAAGGATCTACAAACAGCAGTTCTCTTGTCCCAACAGCTGCACATTCTACCACTTAGAAGGCGTCTGGGCAGCTGGCCCATTTAATAAAGACTTTGGTCAAGAAGGATCCTAAATGTATATATTGATGGGCTTGATTTCCCTGCTAAGTATGTTTCTGAAAGGTGATAATCACAGACCTCAACAATTAGCAAGTCAGTTGATCTTTGAATACTCCAATATATAAATTAGGGGCCTTCCAGGAATTTATGTTGATACTCATCCAAACCATCCTCATCAGCTTCCAGTGATGAGAGTACCATTTAATTGCAGGCAAGCAACTGCAGATAGCAATGATGGGAGACGTATTCATGCAGCTATTTTGGGTTCATTTTTGGTGTGGTGGTCAGTCAGAGGTAGTTCTTACCATATGATGGATTGCTCATTCACTAAATGTGTTACTTTTCTTAAGTGGCCTACTGACAGAAAACCCTACAAAGTTGGTTTCTTTGAAACTGAGCATAAGGAGAGGTCCTCTTTATCAGCACATTCTGTGCCCAGATGAAGATCTATGAAGATATATTTAGAGGCAGAGACTCTTTTCTTTCCTACATCGCTATTCTAACTACTGGACAAAACAGGGAATCCTAGGTCTATTAAGGCCATATGCCAGAGGGAATGGAGTCTACATTTTCATTGCAACAGAACTGTTACTCATACGCCCCCTTATTGTGTAAACCAGAAGTGGCTAACTTGTGGCCTTCCACTTGGTATGTTGGGCTGCCCTTGAAGATGACTTGGAAACTTCATCTGGTCCAAAATGCACAGCCTGATTACTAGCTGAGAATGTGTATAAGCTGTGTTGTAAAATGCCTGCACTGGTTCATGTATGGGCTCAATCCAAGGTACTCACATTAGTGCTTAAAGTCCTGAAGGACTTAGGTCCCAAATATCTGAAAGACTGCCTCTATCCTCTATTGAGCCTTTGGGGCATTAAAATCCATGTGGTAGTTCCATGACCTCAGAGGTTCTGGCAGCTTGCGAGAGGGCCTTCTCTGTGGCAGCCCCTATGGTTGTTTAATAAAATGGCACTATATTTAGCAAGAAGGTTTCTGTAGTGGATTTGGTGCATAGCATTTGTCCTCCCAACTATTTTCTTTTCTTCCAGCTATTTTCACCTCATGTAAGGAAGAAGCATACAGACTGCTAAAGGTTGTTTTACATCTTGGTATTGTTTTGTGCTTTGATTTTTTAAAAAAATAATAATTGGAATGATTTTTTAAGGAACTGTCAGTAGGATTTCGATGCTGGTGTCCCATAGATGGCTTTGAATGTCTCTCAGCTTTGATGACTTCATGTTTTGCAAAAGGGTTAGAAACATTTTTATTCTTTGCCTTACTAGCTGCGAGGGCTTTTAGTGCAGTGCTCCGGGTAATTGTGTGTGTCTGAAATATTTATATGTTAGCCCATTGATCTCCGACAGCCCATTTTGTAATGCCTTTCATCATGTGACTGTTGGCTGTGAGGAACACCTGCTGAGCTGCGCTGTGCTTTGCACTGGCATATAAGGGTTCCTTCCTATACTAACATGTCAATATTAGCTACTGAACAGCTAGAACAATTTCTGTTCAGAGAAATTGCTAGTTCCGCTCTGTGTTTGGCAAAGTGCTAAAAAACAACAACAACAAACCATGTGTGGGGAAGTTAAATAAATGGGTCTGGTGCAATTGAGGGGTGGGGGAAGAGGTTAAGGGACCACTCCGCTGGTGCCAAAACCACTATATGAGGCCATAAAAGGATGTTAGACATTAATGCCCCAATCAAGTTAAGGGGACTGGTAGATATTGGAAGGCTTCTGTATATACACTTCTTCCTGGAAAAATGAGCATGTTTGATGCTCATCCAACAGCCCGTTCGATTGAAAATGTTGTCTGTCTGCAGCACATTGCTTTGAATGGGCTACACCCTCTGGTACGTGTTTGAATGCCACATTCTTGTGCAAGTAGTTGCACATTAATACAGTTATACCTCGGGTTACAGACACTTCAGGTTGCGTTTTTTGGGTTACGGACCTGCCGAAACCTGGAAGTACCAGAATGGGTTACTTCCGGGTTTCAGCGGTCGCGCATGCACAGAAGCGCTAAATCGTGCTTTGCACATGCTCAGAAGCACCAAATCACAACCCACAGGTTGCAAACTCTGCGGGTTGCGAACGTGCATCCCGCACAGATCATGTTCGCAACCCTAGCGTCCACTGTACCCTCCTTTCATGCAACTAGAGCCGGATCAGTGCCTCAGAGCTTCAAGTTTCTGACCAAACAGTAAGGTTTACAACAAAATGGACATTTATCACCGTCTATTTAACATTGCCTTCGGCACAGAATGAAACCTTCGGTTCAGGATGCCAAACCAGTTATCGCATCTTGGCTTAATTCACTTCACTCACTTACTCACTCACTCACTCCATAAAATAGACTTCTTGCATTTGGCAGACTAAACAAGAAGTGATGAGGCACTTAGAGAAATTACATTTCTACATTATTTCGTAATAAGATGTTAATGATATAACAATCATACCACTCATACAGTTTTGGTCCATGGGAAACCACATGGATGAGTGTGAGGTTTGGAGATGCCAGAGACCAGCATCCTCTGACTGACATGTTAATGTATCGATGGCTCCCTGCGTGAGTATAAAAACTTTTTATGACATTATATACAGCTTTTATTAATTCTTCAGCACTGGGTAACTCAGAGCCCAACAGTGTTATCTAAAATGACAAATTAGAGATCTTGGCTCATCATGCACTTTTTAATTTCATGCTTGTCTTCTGCAAAATCTTCCGCTATATATTTTACTTGCACAAAGCATAGATGCGGCACAAAGCTTTAAAAAGTTATGGATTAAAATCTCATTTGGAATCAATGGAATTATACAGGAGAAGCCTATTGCCTCATGTCCTGGTTAGGAGCTTTGCAGAAGCAACCGTGGGAGATGGGAAACTAGATAATCCTCTGATCCAGTCTAACAGGACTCTTGCGTTCTCCTATCCTTTTGGTTCAGAACCCCTGTAATACTAGCAATCTCTTTGCTTTTGCTGATGTACATCTTTGTCCAACTCCACTTCAGGACACATCCAGGAGAATTGTGAGAATTGGCTGTGTAGTGATGAGCAATTGGATCTGTGAAGGTACCTTAGTTGCATACCCTCCAACATTTCTCCAGCGAAAACGGGGACATCCTGTTCTACATCAGGAAGATTCTCCTGCATTTGATCTCGCAAACATAGACATCATATACACATCTACATCTTTGTGGTGATAAGAAACTGTGCGAATGATCAGGAACATACAAGACAGTAAGTCCTACTGAACTCAGTGGAACATAGTTCTGAGTAGAATGCAATGTGTACGCCCCTTTTAAACACATGATATTGAAAGTGTGGCGATATGCTATACCACATATTTACATGCCCTATTTGGCAAAAGTGCAGACAAGTACAGGATCAGGCGATTCTGTTTCCAGAGGGGAAATTAGTTTATAAATTAAACTCTTAATTATTAATGGAAAGCTAAGTGTTTCCTGAAATGCTAACTGAAATCATAGTATGTCCACATCCACCCAAACACCATAACTAATCAATGATCTGTAGTTGGCTGATAATGATGATCCTATTAGTTCTGAGAGGGAATTTTGTGTATGTGTAACTGCATCACAAGGCTGCTTGCTATATACATCCACAAAGGAGTACCTATTTTAGTCATGAGTTGGTGATATTTAAAAAAACCCACAACATTGAGCAAGATAGGATTGGCAGGAGAAAATGTTGTCAAGGCAATGTTGTCATCAGCCTGGAGAAATCATTTCACGATGACGGCAAAATGGTTGTGAAATAATCCTTATAATGCAGATGCTCTGTGTAACCAAAGTAAATGCGGTCAACCGCCATACATCAGGATGTGTTTTGAGATACACATTTCACTTGGTGTGCCCTGTAGCTAATGAACATCTGAGAAGGTGAGTCACCTCATCCATCACCTCCTCCGTCTCCAGGCCCTGAAGCTCTAAATCAAGCTGATGCTGAACACAATATAGCAGGACTGACAAGGCCTACACAGAGACAAGCTCCTTCTGATGTCGGAGGATGAATGAGGTGAAATAATTGGGCAAATACACCTGGTACAACACCTCCTGTGCGCTGGGATTGCACATGCGTCTACCTCACAACCTGGTTCTGCATCTGAAAGAAGAACATCGTTTACTGAATGTAACCAAATACCAAAAACATTGAGCATTTGCAAAGAATATTCTATAACACACCATCAGGGAATTTTACAGAAGAGCATGAACAAAAAGGCCAAATTTATGTTTGATGGAATAAACTGCTAACACATTCTTGATGCTGTCACTGGATGTGTTTCCTAATTACTTTCATCAGCATTTATTTTTTTTAGCAAGAAACACAATTCTCTGATTTGATACAACTTGATTCATCAGATAGTTTTACAGACAGCAAGTGATTAACCAGAATGATATGATGACCTTGATGCATATAATTTTTTATACCAGCTTTCTCCAGTCATACCAAAGTTGCGCTTGATTTTTTTGAGAACAGAAGCATAGTTGATTAAAAAAACAACAACCCATAGGCCAGGTTAAAATATTCTAACTATAGTAAGCAATTAACAAATCTTTATCAGAACTGTTTTGGCTTCATTTTCAGGGCTTCTCTGTTGCTCTCTGTTCTCTCTAGATCTAACTGCCTTTGATGTTAACAGTAACTGACATTGTTATAACCAATTCTTATGCTATCTCCACATTCAATAAATTGGGTTCTTTTATCCTAGTAGATCTGATCCACGATTTAGCCAAGTTGCCACCCACTTGTTTTGCCTTGCTTTCATTGTTGCTTAACACAGATCCAAAGTGATTATTTGGTGTTTAATTCCATTTTGTGTTTAATACCATTTTGTGCTCTGGTCCATGGGGTCATGAAGAGTCGGACACGACTAAACGACTAAACAACAACAACCATTTTGTTATCCACTGCCTCTAATTTCCCACTATCTTGCCTAAGCGGATAAGTTTTACTTTGGCCTCCTGGTGGTTTAAAAGCTTTCCATCATTTATTTTTCTTGGTGCCACTAATTGTTTTTTTTTTACTTGCTACAGTAGACCTTTGGATCAATCACTTTAAATGATTTGTATTTACTCTTGGTGTTCCTCGCTTCTTTTTAGAGACAATTCAAGACATAGCCTAGTGCACTTAAGCCTATTGATATCAACGATGTATTTAAATCTCTCAGATTGTGGCCCTTTAGTAGATCTACAGTTTTGCCTCACATTCTGCTGCTCTGAGTTCTTAAAGTTTAGAGAAGCATTTAGTTCCTAAGCAGATCACTAATTTGAGCTGCACAGACTCAAAAGGGATAAATAGGGTGATGTATTGCAGATGTTCTACATTTAATCATAGTTAGTTGGGTTATATTTTTTGTACCAAAGTTGGCACTAAACATGGCTAGCTTTGATTCACAAGTCCAGAGGCGGTTTTAGGGTAGCATGGCCAGTTTGGTGCCACAACAACGGTGTTGAATGGAGCATGAGAGGCAGTGGGTACTGAATTTTAGCATCACACAGGGCACCGCTAAAGTTTGAGAGCCCAAATTCTGCCACTGACAAGTCCCTTCCAACCTAAGTCAAAGACAAGTAAAGCAAATGGCCTTAGTAGGAGAGAGAAGAGGATGCTTCATTCTGCCTCTTCAAAGCAGTAAAAGCAGCCTTCAAAGTCTGCATTTAAGGCATCTCTCTCGTCCTGAGCCACCTCCACAAATACCCTCCATGTACATTAATGGTGTCCATCATGAAGTTCAGTTCCTTGTTCTAACACAAAGGTCAGCAAACTTTATCAGCAGGGGGCTGGTCCACTGTCCCGCAGACCTTGTGGGGGGCCGGACTATATTTTGAAAAAAATAATAATGAACGAATTCCTATGCCCCACAAATAACCCAGAGATGCAGTTTAAATAAAAGCACACATTCTACTCGTGTAAAAACACAAGGCAAGCCCCACAAATAACCCAGAGATGCATTTTAAATAAAAGGACACATTCAACTAATGTAAAAACACACTGATTCCCAGACCACCTGTGGGCCAGATTTAGAAGGCGATTGGGCTGGATCCAGCCCCCAGGCCTTAGTTTGCCTATTCTTGTTTTAAGACATGACGTTAAAAGTAGATCCATCAGCTGCAGTTTGAGCTAACCAGGGTTAGCATTAACAGTGGTGCAGACGTAACAATGCATCTTAGCTCTGAAAAGGGATTGGAGGAGATATTTATGCATGAAAGGGGAGGGAGAAGAAGGGGACGGGCCTATCCAATGATGATTGCGAGGTCAAAAAATTACAGCTGTAATCCTCCTTACTTAAAAAAAAAGTGTTAGAGAGCAACGTTATGAAAAAATAATGAGTAATGAGTAATGAGCCAAAGTTAAGCACCTTTTAGTCCTATTTGATCTAACTGGAAGTGATTGCCAAATTTGCTTAACTCTGCCATTGAAATCAATGAGACTGAAAAGTATATATCCTTGATAAGGTTCATTGTAATATGTGCACCTGACTATTTTGCTCTTTTCTGCTATACAGTGGTGCCTCGCAAGATGAAATTAATTCGTTCCGTGAGTTTTGTCGTCTTGCGATTTTTTTCGTCTTGCGAAGCACAGTGTCGGGAAAGTTTTGGAAAAGCTTCAAAAATCACCAGAGTCTTTAAAAACCTCAAAAAAGGCTACCACACCGCGTTCTATGAGTTGTTCCTCGAAGTCAAGTCGCAACTGTATTAACGGTGTTAAGAAAAAGGAAACAAACTTGCAAGACGTTTCTGTCTTGCGAAGCAGCTCAAAAAACAAAAAACCCTTTCGTCTAGCGAGTTTTTTGTCTTGCGAGGCATTCGTCTTGCGAGGTACCACTGTATTTCAAGATGACCAAAACTGTTTCTTCAGCACAGACCTAGCTAGAGCGTGAAACATATTTCAGTAGCTTAAGGAGCCACCAGCCATCAAAAGCTATTAACTGGAACCCTGTTGTCAACCATTAAGAATACAGAAATCTAGTGGGCAAGTGTGTCATTTCGAATAGCACAGGCTTAAAATAAGAGAGGGAGAAAACTTCAGATAGAATGCAAGTTCTTGATTTTTTGAAAAAAAAATTTGCATAAGAAGTATAAATAAATAGTATTTCTCCACAAGTTATAGCTCTGGCTAAAGGGCCTGCTATATTAAATGGCAGATAAAGTTTTCTGATACGGCTTTAAACTTTCCTATCTCTGATACTGATCACATTTATCAACCCTACAATAAAATGTCTTCCAAAGTCAATTAACTTCTCCTGTTAGACCAGCCTGCTATCTAGTATGACAGACATTAAAGAGAATTACGGATTCTGAAATAAACTATCTGATTTAGAACTAAGGCACTAAATATTTGGCTCCACATCCTAAAATCCGGTTAATAAAAGAACCAGGTTTATGATGATAGTCCTTCAGAATGGAAGGATCCCTTTCAGTTCTATCCTCTTGAAAATTGTTCCACTTTGCCAAGCCATGGGAAGCTTCAGGAGGACTGGTGGGTGGAAGCCTCCAGATGGGGGTTATGATATGAACCAGTCCTTGAATTATTTGACGACATGCCAGAGAACTGTCGCATAATCTGCTTCATCATGACAATTGGTTTGAGTGGTTTTTAATGAAAATATTTCGAAATAGCTCATCTTTCAGGCAAATCATTTCAAGGCTGATATCGGAGTCACTTCCTTTGCGGGAAATCTCATTGTCATTAGCACAGCAGATACTTAAAGCTTGAGCTGGGATTTAATTCTGCAACGGGAGAGTTCTAGGATGATGTGACACTCGTCTTATGTATTTTTTATTGTAACATTTAATTGCACATTAAATATGTATCAAATTTGACAAAGACAAAGTGAACCTCAGAGAATAAACAACTCAACTTAATTCTGTTGCTTTGCAAAAGAAATGAGCCCAACACATTCCTTTCCTTGCCTCTTGGCGAGCAAACAAAGCAGGGATGAGAACCCGTGGTCCTGCTCCTTCAGTCGCTGCTGTTGTCACCTTCCAATTTGTGAAAGGTTACTGTGTGAAGCT